TTTCCTTATTTGGAAAGAATTTCAGGACCACTCATCTCAAAGTTGTGATGTTTTTTGCAATGAATAAATCTTGAGAGTCGAGTTTGATTAACTAAGGGATTTCATTAAGGTGAAACGTAGTTTCTACCGAGTAGTATTATCAATTGAATTGTTTTAACTACGTTGGCTTTAGTTTGAGCCAACATTTATCCTCTGTAGATCTGAAATTGTATCTTGAACTTTGTGGTTGATATAAACAAATCCTGTACGAAATTACATGATGCAACCCCTTCGATAAGTAATCTTTTTAGCATATCATTATTCGGAAAAAACACTCAAAGTATACATGAATTATTAAATCATATTCTTATATTTGATTCACTTCTAATCATGGCTAAATAAATTATCGCAATTTTATTAGAATTAACGTCCTAGTCTTCTAAGTGTTAATCGGATAGATGAGCTGGACCTAAGTTTCGTGCTTGTTGGCACTCGTCAGCAATACGTACCTGTGACCATTACACAACTGATGTCTCATTTGAGATTCAAACTGGAGTCATTCAGCATTACCACTGAGTTATTCGGGCCACGACTGACTTTCTGTGGGACTGGATTCGATACAATGACTGGTCATTGGACGGTAACCAACTTTATGTTGTGCTGACTGAATTCTACTGATCCTTTTACAAAGTTGCCACGAGACTTGACAGCTCATCATCACAATGCAATTTGGTAGGTGTAGGTCACATGGAGGCAATCGGCAGGAACCCCTAAACCTGAGTGCCATGGGTTCGAATCTCAAGCGGGACATCAGTTCCATCGACGTTGCAGATATGCCTTGCTGGCAAGTGCCAACAAGCACAAAACCTAGGTTCAGGGCTTCCTTTCGGTTGTCTTAACCCAACTAACATCTATTAAGGTGGATTGCAATGAGGAGCTGCCCAGTCTGGTGGCCACATTGCAAAATGATCGACAGAATTCGGTCAGCACAACATGAAATTGTCTACCCTCCAGTGACTAGTCAATGTCTTCTAAATGCTTCTGTCATTAAATTATCTGAATTCAGTGTGCCGCATAATTAATTCTTCTATTTCAGTTTTGGATATCCTGTTGATACAAATAGCCAGTATTTTTCTTCCTGAAAGATCAAAAATTAAAAAATTTAGTTTGTACAAAGTGCGAAAATTAGTCTGTAATTCCATTATAATAAACAAAAACATCTAGTTAGGTACTACAAGTATGTCGGATTTCAATTTGGGGGTTTGGAGGGACTTACTGATTGATTTCAGGTTGATATTCATCATAAACTGACATCAGTTGGACAGATATTAGAACTTACTGGAATAACTGATAGCTAATGTAAATCAGCAACCTCGCATGGTTTACTAGTCCACTAGCCCATCCTAAGCCCGGGTAAAAAGGGAAAGTTGGACATAGGGCTAGCAACCCTACACCGGAAAACAAATCTAACCGCCACAGAAACTTCAAAGCACAAACGATATATAAAAAATAATAACAAAATTATTACTCGCTAGAATCGGAGAGGTGAAATGATGCCGGTCGGTGAAAGCCTTCTAAAAGCCAATTGGTCAATGTGTCTCCCTTCTCTTCTCTCCATGAAAGCGAAAGTAAACGTGGGGACATGGAATGTGCGCACCCTGTTTGAACCTAGCTGGCAAGACAGCCCAGATTGCAAACGAGATGAGGAGGTATCACAATGAAGTGCTTGAAATTTGTGAAAGCAGATGAAATGGGAGTGGACTCTTCAAACTGTCAACTGGAGGGGAGAATCAATAATCTACTCCGATGTTGTCACCCAGACAACACGACAACCACGAGCACACTGAGTTTTGGGGTGGCTATCATGATGTCCCCTTGAAGAGCATTGAAGGCTCTCATGTAGTGGGAACCAATCTCCTCAACGATCATGATCATGACAGCAAGGTTCAACTCAAAAGGAATGAAGGTCACAATCATACAATGCTATGCACCTACAAATAATGCAGATGAAGAGAAAAAGGTGGAATTCTGCAGACAACTGCAGTCAACACTGGACAAAACGCCACCTCAGTTGGCGATATCAAAATTCTGATGGGTGATATGAATACAAAACTGGGAGCGGACAACACAGGAATGGAACTAACCATGGACTGAGAAGCCCTAGGTGAAATGAACGAGAATGGAGAATTGTTTGCAGAATTCTGTGCATTCAACGATTTGGTGATTGGAGGCTAGGCAGTGTGTTCAAGCACAAGGATATCCACAAAGCGGCATGGATTTCACCAGATGGACACACTAAAAATCAGACCGAAAGAAGACAAGCAATGGATCTCAATGGATATATGGAAGCTGATAGAGTAGGGAGAGGAGGATGGTGAAGCAGAAGATAAACCAGTGCAAGAATGCTCAACGACAAGAGGAACTGAGTACAGTGTATAAAACACTGAAGAAGAGTGCGCACTAAGACAAAAGACACTTCCACGACACACTGGCAAGTGAAGCAGAACAGACGGCAGGCAGGAGAGACCTGATAACACTGTATCAAATAACCAGGTTACTATCTGAAAAGAGATCAACACAGATGAAACCAATAAAAGGTGATGAAGGAAATTTAATTACCAAAGAAGAGAAACAAAGGAAACAATGGGCCGACTACTTTAAAAAGCTCTTGAATCGACCACCACCACCACCTGCACTTCGTCCACAAATACCACCTGCAGTCCAGCCACAGAACTACAAGTGAACATAAATCCTCCAACAAAAGTGGAAGTCCTGAACGCCATAAAGCTACTGAAATGTGAGAAAGCAGCAGGACCAGATGGAATCGCGCCAGAAGCACTGAGGACAGACGTGGAGACAACAGAGGACATGCTCACACCACTATTGTAGAAGGTCTGGAAGGAAGGGAAGGTAGCTGGCAATTGGAAGAAGGGCGACCTAAGTCTTTGCAAGAACTGGCGCGGAATCACTCTCCTGTCCACCCCAAGCAAAATATTAGGTCGCATCATCCTGGAGAGACTAGAGGATGAGCTGGATTCAAAACTACGATCGGAACAGGCTGGATTCAGGAAATACAAATCATGTGCAGACCGAATTGCAACGCCACTCTACGCATCATCATAGAACAGAGCATAGAATAGTAGTCAACTGGATCTCTACCTCATCTTCATCAACTTTGAGAAGACCTTTGACAGCGTTGCCCGAGTAGTAATTTCACAGTTGTTTCTACACTGTGGAATAACACAAACCTTTATCAACCTCATTCAACAACTATATGAAGACGCCACATGCCAGCCAAGTAATTCACAATGGGAAGCTCAGTGATGCTTTTGGAGTGAAGTGAAGACAGGAGTAAAACAAGGCTGTCTACTATCACATATGATATTCCTGGTTGTGGTCGACTGGATCATGCAGCAGACAACAGTGGGGAGCGATAAGACGGGGATACACTGGCTGGACCGGGGAAAAGATCCTAGAAGATTTGGATTTCGCCGACGACTTGTGTCTAATGTCATACAAACTTGAAGATCTACAGACAAAATGCAAGAAGTTGACAGAAGAGGCGAGGCAGGGCAGCGAAGGAAGACGGGACTTCGTTCAGGTGAACGTAGAGAAGACAGAGGTAGAGGTGATGAAGATACTCAACCAACACCACCAACAACAAGTTCCAATCACCATCAGTGGGAGAAACTTGATGGAAGTAGACTCCTTCATCTATCTAGGCAGAGTTGTTTCAACTACAGGAGGCAGTGGCACAGACGAGGATGTCAAAACCAGCCAGGATTGGAAACACAGCAAGACAGGTGTTCACTAACCTGAAACCAGTGTGGAGATCTTCTGCACTCTACTCAGTATAAAGCGCGAACAACATTCGGATTCTCAACACTAATTCAGTCAAGTAAGTCAGTGCTTCTATGTGATGGTTGAGAGACTTGGCAGGTTACGAAACGCGTTTCTATCAAACTACAGATATTCATCAACAACTGCCTACTCTGACTTGTTACTGAAGATCAGATGGCCAGAAAGAATAAACAACAAGGAACTCCGGCTGGTAAAGAAGCAACCAAGAACCTACCACTCAACAAATATGCACTGGAAGGAAGTTGAGATGGATTGGCAATGGAATGCTGAGAAGACGATTCGGAGACATCACGCGCCAGGCTATGCAGTCGAGTGGAACCCAGATGGGAAACGATGAGTTAGGTGTCCGAGGTGAGGGTGACATGGAGGAGATGGTGCGAGGAAGAAATGAGAAGTTGTGGGCAGTCGTGGAGGCAGGTTTAGAAGATTTCAGAGAACAGAGTGCACTGGAGACGTGCTACTGAAGCCCTATGTTCCATTAGGAACCCAAGGGACAAATATAATAATAATAAATGTAAATCAGCAGCCACATTTAGTTACATGCACTAGTCAGTGAGTCATAGCTAATTTGTGGGGGCTGTTAATACAACCTGGTTATACACTCTTCGCTAGGTGAAGCATGGTACAATCTTGTAATCCACTGGTTAAAAGTAGACTACTTAGACCAATGTACTATAGTCCCACATTTACTGGAGGGAAAAGCACAAAACTTACCAGCATAAACTACAGTTTTCAACAAATCTTTTTCATCACTGAAGGAAGTAGGTCATTTAAAAGCCCAAATTAGCGAATTGCACGGGATTTCAAAAGAGATACGAGCCAATTACCAAGGTTAAACTATTATTAAGCTGAAATACTCAAAAGAGCTCTGAATACCCATCAATTTTGATACGAAGTGGTCATTTTTGAAAAAAAAAACACTTAGCAATATTATAGTAATGATGGGTAGTGGCTGGCGATAAAATCCAGGATAGGCATTTCGTCCTATTTGGGACTCGTCAGCTGGATACATCTTTCCAGAGAGTGATGTCGTTCCCACCGGGATTCGGGAGCAACCACTTCAAACGTCAGGGCGTTATCCACTACACCACCAAGCCAAACAGGACGAAATGCGCCTCCTGCATTCCACTGCTAACCACCATCCATCATTACTGTAATATCGAGGCATCCGTACAGGAGCCCGTATGTCAATAGAGACCGATCAACTGGGTCCAATCAACGAAGGTATAATATACAAAAAACAGTTATACTTAACGATATTACTGACATCACATCAGTGTTCATATTATTCAATTGGAACTTCAATTAAAGATGAGTATCCCACTCACAATGTCATTTTAACATCAGCATATCGGAAGTAAATTAATTTATCGAAAAAATGTTATCACATAAAGTATACTACTTTTAAGTAATATAAATAATTTAAAAAAATATTTGTGAATTTTTTCGCATTTTGTAAAGTAAGCATAAGTAAATGAAGTTAGCAAATTATATTAACAATCATTGTGTAAATGGAAGAAATGTGAGGTAGACAAGAGATTTTAGTCAAATTGTGCTTGATTGTATTTCGCTAGGGAGATCAATTTAATCATTCTTGTCTGATTATAAAACGCCTGATAAAAAACGTACGAATATAAGCTGCATTAGGTGAAAATACACAAAGTTAAAAATGCTAAGTAGAGACAATTAAGGTGACTATATTCTAAAGTAGAAAATGATGTTTATTCTTGTATGTTTAAAAGTAGTGTGTTGACGGTTTCTCATCCAGATGCACTGGGAGATAGTTGTTCACGTGCACGAAGACCTAAATGCAGAAAATGCAATTCAAAAATTAGGGATATCACGAAAAACCATTTCGATAGAAATATACTTGACAAATAAAATTACCCCTAGGTAATGGAATGAAAAATACGGCTACGGCAGCATGAATCTTTTCAAAGTTAGAGAAATGCAAATTGCTGATAAGGAACAAGCCCATAATCAAGAAAATTTCCACTAGTTGATCAATTTCAGTCACTTAGCTAGAAAAACAAAAACTGGTAGCCAATCTCTCGAAAAAACTCTTATTTGTCTTTTGTAGACGAATACCAAAGGCTCGGCTGGCTTTTGCCAACATACGCCAGATGTCACGCCACGCTGATATCCGATTGTCTATTAACGGTCACGTGTACTGCACCTGCACAGCAGGCCGCTCGGTTCTACTCTATGGATGTAAAAGGTAAGACAAGGTTGCCACCTACCATCCACTGACCGTCTTCTTGATTGTGGTCAACTCGACTCGACTCGATCATGCAACAAACAAATGTGAGGAGCAAAAAGATGGGCATACGCTGATTGGACCAATCAAAAGACCCTACATAATTCCCACTTCACCCGCGATCATAACTTACGTTTAACGTCTTGTTGCACAAACTCGAAGATCTACAGACAAAAACTAACACATTGGCAGGAGAGGTGAGGCAGGGCAGTGAAGGAAGACAGGACTTCCTTCAAGCGAACCTAGAGAACACACAGGTGATAGAGATACCCAACCAACCAACCAACCAACAACAACGAACACCCATCACCATCAACGCAAGAAGTATAAACAAAGTTGTCTCTTTCACCTACCTACCCACCTACGCAGCATCGTTTCAAATACAGGCGACCGCAAACGCAAACATGACGATGTCAAACCCACCCAGGATCGGAAACACACCAAGACATGTAGGCCTTCCTTCATCAATCTGAAATGATCAGTGTGGAGATCTACTGCACACTCCACTCTACTCCACACCACACCACGCAGCATGAAGCCTGAACAACATCCACACTTTCAACACTAACTAACTCAGTATACTCAAGATCAGATGGATGGTCAGAATAGTAAGAATAAGGCAACAAGGAACTCTGACTGGCTGGCTGTCAATGAACCAATGAAGCAAGAATTTATCGCTCAACAAATATGCAGAAGATGGATTGGATTAAGCATACAATGAGAAGACCATTCGGGGCATCACGGATCAGGCCAGGTCAGACCAAGCTGTCGAGTGGAACCCAAACGTGAAGCGACAAATCGGTCGTTTAATGGTGATATGGAGGAGATTGTGTGAAGAAGAAATGATTGGTTATGAGGAGTCATACAGCCAGATTCAGAAGACTGTAGAGAACACAGTGGAATGGTGACGTGCTACTGAAGCCCTATGTTCCATTAAGAACCCAAGGGATAAATAAAAGATAATCGATAAACCAGTTGAATATTCGTCTCATAAAGAATGATTGCAAGAAATGTTTTAAAAATGTTACGTGTTTTCTCTAGTGTAACAAAGTGATTTGTTTTTTAAAATTTAAAACAGAACACTCATATCTGATTAGTTTTAAAACAAATTGTTTAGCCAATGTTAGAGATTAGAGTACACCAAAAATGTTAGATAATAATATGCCATCTGCTTCACTATACAAACAGAAGGTAAATGAAAAACAATATATACCAATCTGTATTAACCAATCATGATCAAAGATGATGTTGAATCAATTAATGACTTGTAGAGTTGTTAAAGTTAACCGATTAACTTGTATGATCTAATTGTTGGCTAGATCTGAGTATCTCTTCAATTATCAGGTGGATTCTTAAGACTATAATATTAAAAAAACTTAGCTTTTATACTAATTCTGATCATCCTTTTTTAAAAATTGGATCATTTCACCCACTGAATGCTTATCAAATAGTTTAATTAACAGAATAACACGTTACTTAAATAGAATATAGTTAGGTATTACGGATAAACATAAGTCATATTGTTTCATTGTTATAATTAAACTAACCTTACATAAGAGGTAATTTCCGGTAGGCTATTAAATAACATTTGAGACAGTAATACATTGATCACTTTTAAATACACTAAACATGATAATAACAAAAGTGAGATAAAATATTGAACAACAGGAAAACTTCAGTAATAAATCCCTATAAGGGGGTAATTAGGAAATAGCAGTAGACAGTGTGCTACAAGTCCCATAAGTAATTGATACAACGTTTTCTTTGAGGTGATGTTGAAACGTCATATTGATATACAATACATCGTCTATCTCCTATTCTAAATTTATGAATACAGAAATGATTTTTTTTTCTCAAGTGTCTTCTTCTAACCTGAGAATGACAATGGAAAATTGGTTTAAAATGTGTTATTATACCCCATTGCCAAGAAGTTTATAATAAGCGTTCCTCTTTACGTAAGGAGACAGTTGGTAGAATGTCCTGTATATGGATTATTACGTCTGCTTTAACTCTTCCATCAAGTGTATCTGCAAGCTAAAAAAACTCTCTATATCTGTCTTTTTTTCAACAGATTGTTTCCAACTGAATGATTTCCTATCTACTGTTAGACTATCATCCTCTGTGAATGGTCTTCGGTCTGATTCTTTAAAATGTCAAACTATAAACTTTAGTTTCAGGCGTGAACATGACCTATTTAAACTGCTCAAGTCTCATGATTCCTTTTCGATAGATAATTGTGCATTAGAGAATGTTACAAATTTGATTTATCTCGGTGAGCTTTTCTTCGAAACTTTCCTATTCCTCTCATATCTTACTAATTTCCAAAAGGACTTTTCACCTAACTTTCTATATTAGGAAGATGAGAGTATCCGGCATAACTCAACCTCTCTCTCTTGTGTTTTATAAACTCCTGCATCTTGCCTCTTCCCCTTTATTTTCCACCAGACTACTGAAAAAAGACTATGCTATATTGCTTAGAACATTGAAGATTATCAGCAGGACTAATTAGTGGTATACCCCTAAACCTTCTAATTAAAACACTTACCGACAAACATATCAACTCATGTAAACATCCGGCAGCAGTTACTTTATCAGATTATCAACATCCTCTTCACTCAAAGCTCTCTGCGCGTCGGTCATCAGGAGAGACCAGGAGAAAGTACACATACGATTTTATGCACGTGCTGAAAAATATGCAAACCCTACAATACTGTATTTAGATCCTTCCCTGTGGGATGAAGAAAGTATTACTATTTCTGTTTTCAAAAGTGAACTAATTAAACAGTACACAGCTTGTCAGTATTTATGTACTATGAGTTTAACTCATAATGTATCTGTTTATCAAAGTTAACTCAGCATTTTCAAGAAAGCTGTAGACAATGACTATTGTTATGCTTTTCATGTAATTTATACTTTTTTTTCATTTCGCTATATTATGTGTACACTATCTCTGTCCAACTGATGCTATGTGACCCGCTGAAAATTCTGTAGAGTATTCCCTCAATAGCTGTCAGAATCGAGCCATCATTGCTATTATTATTAGTTCAGAAATATTCAAACAATAAATAACCTAGGGTAATTTAATTCAGCCGTCAGTTACCTTTGGAACATCTAACTTTAAACATAAAAAGCCAAATCACTCTTCTTGCCTATGAAAATCTGATTAAAAGAAGAATACTTTTGTAAAATCACGGGGAATGGAGGGGGGGAGGGTTGGCCAGAGGGCTGCGAAATATTAACTAAAAATTAATAAGCGGTGGGTTGTCATCATCATCATTATCAACATAGGACCAGGCATTACTGCGTAACGGTCCGACTTGCCACACCTCATATCAGCACATCAAGTAAAAGGTAGTGAGGTGAAGGATGAAGATAAGTGAATGCAGTCAAAACAAATATAAAGTATGAGAAGAAAGGAAAGAGGAGTGACAAAATAGTGAGATTCGGTATAGCGTTGTTAAGATGACGATAATGTGTGTATACATCTGCACCACTGACTTCGGTTCTGAGCCATATCACCTACAGTCAGTCTCCAACCACTGGTTCCTCTTGTCCCATATACCCCAACCACCTAGTCTACATCGTCCTACATGGCTTAAACCAACACTCAGAGACTTCATACATTGGTGCCGCCATGTTTTAGTCTGGCCACCTCGGGCCTTTCTCCAGCCTGGACCCACCTCAGCCAACATTGTGTGACGAGGCAATCGACAACTAGGCATACGTAGTACGTGTCCCAACCATCTCAGTCGATGAAGCTTCACAACCTCGTCAACCGACTCACCTCTTCTCCCCAAAACTTCACACCTAACTTCTGCATTACTCACATGGTGATACCAGGGAATACGGTGTATACTACGAAGGCAACCGTGGTCAAACACCTGAAGCTAGCCTTCTTATGTCTTCCACCTTCAATGGCCATGTTTCACAGACATACAGTAGAACAGAGTGGACTGCTGTGCAGTACACGCCACCCTTAATAGACAAACGAATATCACGGGGGCGCCATAGGTGGCGCAAATTGGCAAAAGCCAATCGAGCCTTTTGTATCCGTGCAGAAATCTCATCGGCAACTAACCCACCGGGGTTGATCCTACTTCCCAGGTAGGTGAAGTGGTCAACACACTCAACCACTTCACTCTCTATTGTTAGCCGCGGTACCGCTGAAGACCAGTCCTGGAGCAGAAATTTGCATTTGGGTGGTGAAAACCGCATCCCTAACATTCTCAAATTCCCACTCAAAGTGTTCAGAAGACTCTGTATCTTGTCAGCGTTGTGGAACCTACTAAACCCCATTCAGAAATAATTCATACTATGATAATTTTACATAGAAGAAAATGATGAGAAATGTGATAAACTCCGTTAGGGATAAATCCAGTAATCTACTTAAAAAGACGAAAACTATCAAATATTCGATAGGGATTCATTGGTACCTAAATGTTTCAAAATGTTGAGCATTTCTACTTGACTCTATTTATTTCTTCCCCATTGTCTCCTACACTTTCACCGGCTTTAAAAGAGTGATTTTTCCGTATATTTACTCGTTATACGCAGTGTAGCAAATGGAACTGATGAACATATATGCAACATTTCCTCACTTAAACACCAAATCTCATGAGATATATACAGACTTCAGAAACAACTGAATGTTTAATACTTGGAAAAGTAAAATGAGTGAAGTAAGTAAAGGTTACTCAAACAACTATTGAAACAACCAATTATTTCAATGGTAGCCTTTAGAGTCACTCAGTAAGTACGAAACAACTTCAAAAATATGATATAATCAAAGACAGACGCCATATGCTCAAGTATATTCAATCTCTAACCACTTGGAATATAGGGAACAGATTCATACACATTATTACCAAAATAAAAAAAACCTTTAGTTGGTTGGAAGTGACTGATAGGAAGCTCTGCTTTAAACAGGTTTCGTGCTATTTGGCACTCCTCACAGCAGGGCGGTATCTACAACCTCAAGAGAACTGATGTCTCATTTCAAATTCGAACCTGCATCACCCAGTGTTGCAAACAGCGATGTTATTATTGAGGTATTTGGGCTGGGAGTGAACTCCTGAAGGACTGAATTACATACATTGATCAGTTGCAAATACGCCTTGTTGATGAGTGCCAACATATACAAAAACTAGGTGAAGCAGGACTTCTTGACGATTGCCTCTAACTAACTTACATCTACCAAAGTGCATCACAAATGGTGAGCCGGCCTCCTAGTTTGCTGGTCATATTACAAAAGGATCGATCGAATTCGGTTAGTACTCAGCACTAGATAACATGAAATTGGTTACCCTACAGTGAACAATCAATATACCTTTCTTAGGATCTATTGTTTCAAATATGATATCAATAAAAACACTAAACATGCTCTTAATTTATTCTTCATTTTGAAAACTGACTTTTCGGATTAAGTAGATAAGGGGCATAAAAAGATGAAAGTAAGTTCACTATAAATACACGTTGGGATAAACATGTCTGCTGACAGGAATCACTGACAAATTGGCACATGCATAAATTCTACACTGAAACATTCATGATGATGAGATGCTGATTACTGCTGAACAGTGTAAACAGTGCAAGAACAAAGACATTTGTAGCTATAGCACGATGTCACATTCCAAGTGATTCATAACACAATGGAAAGCTAGCTCAGTGATACCTTCCAAGTGAAGACAGGAAGGAGAAAGACAAGGTTGCCACCTACCATCCACTGATCGTCTTCTTGATTGTGGTCAACTAAACTCAACTCGATCATGCAACAAACAAATGTGAGGAGCAAAAAGATGGGCATACGCTGATTGGACCAATCAAAAGACCCTACATAATTCCCACTTCACCCGCGATCATAACTTACGTTTAACGTCTTGTTGCACAAACTCGAAGATCTACAGACAAAAACTAACACATTGGCAGGAGAGGTGAGGCAGGGCAGTGAAGGAAGACAGGACTTCCTCCAAGCGAACGTGGAGAACACACAGGTGATAGAGATAACCAACCAACCAATCAAACAACCAACCAACAACAACAGCGAACACCCATCACCATCAACGCAAGAAGTATAAACAAAGTTGTCTCTTTCACCTACCTACCCACCTACGCAGCATCGTTTCAAATACAGGCGACCGCAAACGCAAACATGACGATGTCAAACCCACACAGGATCGGAAACACACCAAGACATGTAGGCCTTCCTTCACCAATCTGAAATGATCAGTGTGGAGATCTACTGCACACTCCACTCTACTCCACACCACGCAGCATGAAGCCTGAACAACATCCACACTTTCAACACTTACTAACTCAGTATACTCAAGATCAGATGGATGGTCAGAATAGTAAGAATAAGGCAACAAGGAACTCTGGCTGGCTGACTGACAGGCTGTCAACGAACCAATGAAGCAAGAATCTATCGCTCAACAAATATGCAGAAGAAGAAAGTGGAGATGGATTAGATTGGATTGGACATACACTGAGAAGACCATTCGGGGACATCACGCGTCAGGTCAGGTCATGGAGTGGAACTGGAATGGGTAACGACGAGTTGGGCGTCCGAGGTGAGGGTGACGAGATGGATGAGATCGTGTGGGGAAGAAATGAAAGCTTGTGGGCAGTCATGGAGCCAGGTTGAAATGATTGCAGAGAACAGAGTGGAATAGTGACGTGCTATTGAAGCCCTATAATCCACTAGGAACCCAAGGGAAAAATGATAATGATAATTATAAATTTTATTTTACAGCCTTTCATCGGCTGCACACACACTTAACAATTGAAATGAAGTATTAATAGTAATGATGGCATAAAACACTTTGAGTATGTAGAAATAAATGAAGATTTGAAATCTAGAATTAATTGCATCATCTCTTCATTAATTACTTACTAACTATAAATCATTTAACGATTTTCTAGTTTTTTCATGTCATTAAGTAACCTATTAGCTCTAAAACAGTGCCTTTTTTTATGCTGCTGTTTTTTTCTGTTGTTCCCCCCTTGTTTCCACAGTTCATGAATTTGCAATCTAGTCAGATATAAATTACCATTGATTTTACCTAGGTTTTGCGACTGTTAATCCTGTATTTTCTCAACTCACTACCCTATTGTTAACCCTAGATTCACAATTTCTATTTATGTGTATATATACCATTACCAATACTTCATTTCTATTGTAGGCTGTTTGCAGCTGATGATAGACTGTAGAACGAAACAAGCTCGTTTTATTCCGCGAAAAGAACTAAATGTATGACTACGAGAGGTGTCTGTTAGTTTCCGAATTTTCTCTCTTTCTCCAAATTTATCTATCTATCTATCTATCTATCTATCTATCTATCTATCTATCTATCTATCTATCTATCTATCTATCTATCTATCTATCTATCTATCTATCTATCTATCTATCTATCTATCTATCTATCTATCTATCTATCTATCTATCTATCTATCTATCTATCTATCTATCTATCTATCTATCTATCTATCTATCTATCTATCTATCTATCTATCTATCTATCTATCTATCTATCTATCTATCTATCTATCTATCTATCTATCTATCTATCTATCTATCTATCTATCTATCTATCTATCTATCTATCTATCTATCTATCTATCTATCTATCTATCTATCTATCTATCTATCTATCTATCTATCTATCTATCTATCTATCTATCTATCTATCTATCTATCTATCTATCTATCTATCTATCTATCTATCTATCTATCTATCTATCTATCTATCTATCTATCTATCTATCTATCTATCTATCTATCTATCTATCTATCTATCTATCTATCTATCTATCTATCTATCTATCTATCTATCTATCTATCTATCTATCTATCTATCTATCTATCTATCTATCTATCTATCTATCTATCTATCTATCTATCTATCTATCTATCTATCTATCTATCTATCTATCTATCTATCTATCTATCTATCTATCTATCTATCTATCTATCTATCTATCTATCTATCTATCTATCTATCTATCTATCTATCTATCTATCTATCTATCTATCTATCTATCTATCTATCTATCTATCTATCTATCTATCTATCTATCTATCTATCTATCTATCTATCTATCTATCTATCTATCTATCTATCTATCTATCTATCTATCTATCTATCTATCTATCTATCTATCTATCTATCTATCTATCTATCTATCTATCTATCTATCTATCTATCTCTTTGTATATATATATATATATATATATATATATATATGACAGTAGTGAACGTATTAGAGACTTTGTAGTTTATAACTTACGTGCAACTGTAACAGCAGCCTCTTTTGCTAATTGTTCTTTAACTGTAATTAAGCGAACTCTTTCAGCAACTGCTGCACTCTTTTCTGTTGCCTGATTACCATTGAAAATATGATCATCATTTTGATTGTATACTGGTGAATCAGTAAGGCTAAGAGAAGAGAATGGGAAGTGAAAAAGATCTTTTAGATGAATAATACATTTCAAGGCATAGAAAGTTTATAATATGCCATATTATGATTGAGATTTTTGTATGAATTGACCATTGTTTATTGTCGAAAGATGACTTCTTTCGCCTAATTTAAAGTACTAGTTAATTATGAAGCTTTTAGGGACACACTACTTCTTTCCACCCTGAACCTACCTCATTATTATTATTTGTCTCTTGAGTTCCTAGTGGAAAATACAGCTTCACCAGCACGTCTCCATTACACTCTCCAGTTCTCTGTATTCTTCTCAACCTGGCTCCATCACTGCCCACAACCTCTCATTTCTTCCTCGCACCACCTCCTCCATGTCACTCTCACCTTACACGCCCAACTTGTCGTTTCCCACCCGGGTTCCACTCGAAAGCCTGGCCTGACGCATGATGTCCCCAATCGGTCTTCTCAGTGTATGTCCAATCCCATCCAATCCATCTTCACTTCCTTCTGCATATTTGTTGAGCGATAGGTTCTTGCTTCGTTGGTTTGTTGCCATGCCAGAGTGGGTTCCTTCTTGCTTATTCTGACTATTCTAGCCAACTGAGCATCAGTAAGGAGCCAGCGTAGGCGGCAGTTGTTGATGAATATCTGCAGTTTGTTGGAAATGCTTTTCGTAACGCGCAAAGTTTCTCAACCATCACATAGAAGCACTGACTTACTTGACTGGATTGGTGTTGGAAATCAGAATGTTGTTCACGCTTTATGCTGAGTGGAGTGCAGAAGATCTCCACACACCTGTCTTACAGTCTTTCCGATCCTGGCTTGTTCTGACGTCCTCGTCTGTGCCGCCTGTAGTTGAAACAGTGCTGCCAAAGAAGGTGGGTGAAAGAGGCTACTTTCTTTACGTTTCTCCCGTTCATAGTGATTGGAGTTTGTTGTTGGTGGTCGTGGCACTGGTCGGGTATCATCATCACCCCTGTCTTCTCTACGTTCACTTGAAGTTTCGTCTTCGCTGCCTCTTCTGTCAACTTGTTAGTTTTTGCCTGCAGATCTTCGAGTTTATGCGACATTAAACACAAGTCATCGGCGAAATCCCTGAACCTACCTAATTTATCATAAATGTATTTTATTTCTACATTAAGTAAAGACTTCAGTGTAATAGTTATGAAATTCAGTGAGTATATATAGAAGTCTTCGGTCATCACTAACAAAAAGATATTTTGCTTGTATAAAGCTTTAGTTTGTGGTTTATAAAGAGTGGCTACCATCAATTATTTCTCCTGATCAACTATATAATCTAAGATCTCGGCGATATGACGTAATGACAACACCTCTGGATTAGAATGTAATGTTCGATGGGCTTTCACTCTTATCGTCAATATAGTTTACTTACCAAATTACAGTTTGATTGTAAAACTAACTGGAAAAGAATTAGTTCGGCTAAGTAGTTTTAATGAAAGTGATCATGGAGATTAGAGAAAAAACCCAGGTTACTGACAGAATCAAAAATAGAGGCTGTTATTTCTACTTCTGTTACAACCTAATCACTCTTTCAACTTCTATCATTACTCCCTTTATCATAAAATAACTTCGTTACCTAAATTAAATTACTGTTTAATTAAGTGAACCAGGGTGGAGTGAAATGATTCAAAAGAAACTTTTCATCATAAACCAATATCATTTAAGTCCCAGTCGGAAGAACTAAGTCATGGGTTCGAACCTATGTGGGCAAAGTTGAGGCATTCTGAGTAAGGGGTACACAGGAGTTTGTAAAAAATGACTTTCTAGCTGACCTCAATTTGTACCGAAATCCATCTTTTATTCAATCTATACTCCATAAAATGTAACTGATCAATGATCAATGAAGTTTTGATTTTGTAGGTGCTGACGTAGGCGCGTGCCTACGTCAGCACGTTCTACCGAAGAGTGTTAGATACAGATCACTGATTAACTGTCCAATGGGATGGAAAATAGCTGAATAAAATGGAAGACAAGTGGTACAATTGATGATTACAGATGCACACCATCAGATTCGGAAATACCAATTAGTAATTAACAATCAAAAGGCAAAAGTAGAAAGCATACTCACAACACAATACATGACAATGTTGATAACTGCAATTGGGCCCGAGGTGGCCAGACTAAAACATGGCGGCACCAATGTATGAAGTCTCTGAGTGTTGGTTTAAGCCATGTAGGACGATGCAGACTAGGTGGTTTGGGTCCACGGGACAAGAGGAACCAGTGGTTGGAGACTGACTGTAGGTGATATGGCTCAGAACCGAAGTCAGTGGTGCAGATGTATACACACATTATCGTCATCTTAACAACGCTATACCGAATCTCACCATTTTGTCACTCCTCTTTCCTTTCTTCTCGTACTTTATATTTGTTTTGACTGCATTCACTTATCTTCATCCTTCACCTCACTACCTTTTTACTTGATGTGCTGATATGAGGTGTGGCAAGTCGGACCGTTACGCAGTAATGCCTGGTCCTATGTTGATAATGATGATGATGATAATTGCAATTGAAAAATCAAGCAGATGATACAGAGAACAACGAAGAAAAATCCTCAGGAAAAAAAACTGCTTAAAATCTCAGAAATACCAACAATCGAGGAAACAAACGACTGTGTTGCCAACTTATCAAAATAACCACTAACAAAAATGGAAGCACTTCAAAAAGGATTAAATTACAACACAAGGGATGCCTTGAAAGCAGAATTCGTTATGGCATTAGAATCATTACTTAAAACATCAGAATTCAATGAGGTTACTTGATAAGAAATAGGGCAAACAATCGTATCACTCACTGACCAGGCTGAAGAAACATGACGCTTAAATAAACACTCAACAACAGAAAACACTAAAGGCTGAGAAATAGGAAAGATATCGTTACACTTCTAGTAGACAAAGGACGCAGTACGGTAGTTATAGACAAAGAAGACTACATCAAGAAAGCAGGGATATTACTCCTAGACGAAAATGTATATTAACCACTTGAAACCAAGCGTATCCAAAAGTTCGACAGCGAGATCAAGCAGAAGAAACAACAAAGCAAGACAAATGGGGAATGAAATCGAATGTACCTATCCTTCCTCGTTTCTTCGGCAAACCAAAACCATAGAAAAAAGACATCCGTCTAGGACCAATAGCCTCACTTCCAGGAAAACTGAAACACCTCGTTCAACCATGCAGACATTCCACAAAGTCATCAACAGAATTATTAAAAAAGATCAAAGGCATTAACATAGAAAAAGACGAATTAATGATATCTTTCGATGTCACAACACTATACATATCCATCGAACTCCAATTGGTCAAGGAAACTATTTCCCTCCTGCTCATTGAAGACACAAACCTTTCAGAAAGCACAAAACTTAAATGTTCAAGTCTGATGGAACTCATCGACCTTTGTCTGACAATATACTTTCAATTCAATGGTAAAAGATAAAAACAGATGAGAGGAGCTTCAATGGGGTCACCGATATCCGGACTAATTGCAGAAGCAGTAATGCAGAGACTGGAAGCCATCATTCTACCTATTATTAAACCACACATTTAGATTCACTATGTGGACGACACTTTTGCCATGATTAAGAAAGATGATATAGAAAACACTGACAGTTCGATCAACAACGTTTTCAATGACATCAAATTCACAATGGAAAAGGAGTCGGACAACCCAACTACCATTACTGGAGACAACACACACTGAACATATCCTCAACTACAGTAGCAACAACCCAACAACGCACGCCCAAAATCAGTTGCATGCAAACTCTAGTCAAAAGAGCGAGAACACACTGCAATACAACAACTTCATGGAGAAACGAGGAAAATTACTTGATGTCTGTTCTAAAGAAGAACAGCTACCCGCAAGACTTTATCACAAGATGCCTATCCCGTATATCATCAACTACAAAGTCATCCACAGAAATCAATAAACGCATCATCCTATCATACATAAAGAATATATCAGAAATCACGACAAGATTACTGAGACCACTTGGAATTGGTGTGGCTGGCTATTCATAAACCAACAAATTCCCTCCAAACACTACTAGGCAGACTAAAGGATGCGACAACCTAAGAAGACAAACCGAATATCATTTAAGAAATCAACTGAAATAACTGTAGTCAACACTACATTGGACAGAGTGGCCACCCTCTTCACCTTCGTCGTCTACATGAACACCAACAGGCTGTTAAATGACACACGAGACATTTCATCACTCATTTCAATGCATGTGGATAATTATGGACATGAATTCAATTTTGAGAATGTAGGAGTTTTGATTTCATTAGAAGTAAATGTGTCAGTATATCATAGATAGAATCATATTTTTACATACAATGTAAATTATGCATTATCGTTTGATTATCTGAAATAGCTGTAGTTTAGCAGACTACTATTTATACTGAGGCATAATTGAAGGTGAAATGATAATTTGGACCACAAGCTAGATCTTGCAGTTCAGTTGGTAGAGCATCAGGTCAGAAACTCAGTGGTCGCTGGTTCGAATCCAGCCGCGGTTCAAATTTTCATTTCACCTTCAATCATCTAGTATAAACTATGCATGTTCATATATGATCTGTAGATATAAATATAATGAAGATGGTCTTTGTTTTAAAAATATCTAGGAGATTATTTCGGTCTGACAGAGACTAAACTGCAGCACATATAAAAGAAAAATGTTATCAGTCTAAAACCAAACAGATATCCAAAGAAGACATGACATCACGGCATAACTTTTCAAGTTGTCATAATCTCACTGATCTCAGTATATTGAGATTGAAGGTAACCAGAAGGAAGATAAAGAAATGAATAAGGTACAGCCAACGCCACAAAAGAAATGCAAAAAAGATAATACAATTAAGATTATGAATGCATATTCACCATTATGATTGATTCCAAACTAAATCATCGAAAGTTTTTAACCAACAAACCTGACTGTTTTCTTGAACCTAGGCCAAAAATCCGACATTTCCCTGTATGGCTTAGACTATGAGACAGAAAGACCCCAGAGAAACAAACAAAATCAACATAGAACCTTACACATAAGTGCATCAGTTCAAGTCACCACACTACCACACTTTATACAGTACTACACAAAGTTGTGTAATAGAATAAACAATCTGAAGATGAAGGTAAGTATAAACATCCAAATTATAGAAGATATCTGTGCCACTTTAATCAATTTTCAGCTAGATTATCAAAAGTTTTCTCAATCATTGATTGATTCCTTTCATCTGTAGTAATGTCAACCACCAGGTAGTCTACATGTGTATCATGTCAACCGTCAAGGACTTTATTGATTAGTGTCAAGTCTTGTTCTAATCACTCATAGACTTTGTAAAATCAATTAAAACTTTTTATAGTAAAAAATGAGTAAATTCATATTATCAAACAACAAATATTTACTATCATAATTAGCAACAAATCAAGTTAAAAGTAATTCAACTAACCTTTGACGTAATAGAACATTTCTCAGTGAATTTATTTTATCTTCTTTATTTCTTAATGTAATAACATTCACTTGGTTATTATTATTATTACTATTGGTTCTGATAAAATCTTCACGTGATAAAGGTCTTGCTGTTGTTACCCGACGTTCTTCTAAAGTATACGGTTCTTGACTAGTGAACTAGACATAGAAATAATGCATAATTATTATAAATGATCATCATCATCATCATCATTATCAACATAGGACCAGGCATTACTGCCTCGCGGTCCGACTTGTCACACCTCATATCACCACATCAAGTAAAAAGGTAGTGAGGTGAAGGATGAAGATAAGTGAATGCAGTCAAAACAAATATAAAGTATGAGAAGAAAGGAAAGAGGAGTGACAAAATGGTGAGATTCGGTATAGCGTTGTTAAGATGACGATAATGTGTGTATACATCTGCACCACTGACTTCGGTTCTGAGCCATATCACCTACAGTCAGTCTCCAACCACTGGTTCCTCTTGTCCCATATACCCCAACCACCTAGTCTACATCGTCCTACATGGCTTAAACCAACACTCAGAGACTTCATACATTGGTGCCGCCATGTTTTAGTCTGGCCACCTCGGGCCTTTCTCCAGCCTGGACCCACCTCAGCCAACATTGTGTGACGAGGCAATCGACAACTAGGCATACGTAGTACGTGTCCCAACCATCTCAGTCGATGAAGCTTCACAACCTCGTCAACCGACTCACCTCTTCTCCCCAAAACTTCACACCTAACTTCTGCATTACTCACATGGTGATACCAGGGAATACGGTGTATACTACGAAGGCAACCGTGGTCAAACACCTGAAGCTAGCCTTCTTATGTCTTCCACCTTCAATGGCCATTGTTTCACAGCCATACAGTAAAACAGACCGGACTGCTGTGCAGTACACGCCACCCTTAATAAACAAACGAATACCATGGCGGCGCCATAGGTGGCGCAAATTGGCAAAAGCCAATCGAGCCTTTTGTATCCGTGCAGAAATCTCATCGGCAACTAACCCACCGGGGTTGATCCTACTTCCCAGGTAAGTGAAGTGGTCAACACACTCAACCACTTCACTCTCTATTGTTAACCGCGGTACCGCTGAAATGAAATGTGATTAGAATAAAAATTATTCAGATTTCTTTCTTCATCACTGATTCTTTTTTTATGTGTTAAAAAGAAAAATGATAAGAATATAGTATCCATTCAATGTTCAATTATCATTATTCCTTTGATTGATTGACTTATGATCAACTTTTTAAGTAGGTGATAACATATACAAATAGATTAACACAGAGTTATGCATAAGAATGCATCAAGTTGTTACACATTTTTGTACTTAATATTGAAAAGTGATATTAGAATTATTCAACTGAATTGCCGTCAATTTCCTGTTTCTTGAACAGTTTCACAATCAACTCACTGTGCCTATCAGTACCTTAAATACTACTATATACAATATACCTCAAGTATAAAAACTGGTCTCTAGTTAGTGACCCATTAAAAATGTACTGGAAATATAGATAAACAATTAAATTCTAAAGATTACTTTAACTAACGGCAACATAACCATAATAATGCTATGCAACAGATTTCTCTTGTATGAATCCATCTAATAGAAGTCAATTAATAGCTAATGTATCTATCTTTTGACAATGCTGTATACTTCAATATGAAATCAATGAAGTTCACCACTGTTGAACGATGATTTTTTCTAACCTTTAATTACTTGTATCACAATAAATATTTTCAGTATTATTAATCTGAATTGTTGGGAAAGATAACACTTGAAGAGTGAGAAATGCTAGGACGTAGATATTCACCTGGATTAAATGATTATATGCATAATTACTTATTCCTGAAATCATTGAAGTAAATTATTCTTGGTCAATAAAGCTATGAACATAAGAATTGTTGTTAATTATTGTTATTATTATTTGTCTTTTGGGTTCCTAGTGAATTAAGTAATACATTTCCATCTCACTCTCTTCTATACAGTCTTTTCAACCTGGCTACACCCCACTGCCTATAACCTCTCATTTCTTCCTCACACCATCTCCTCTATATCACTCTCACTTCAGACGCCCAACTCGTTGTTTCCTATCTGGGTTTCACTCGACGACCTGGCCTGGCGAGTCATGTCCCCAGTCGGTTTTCTTAGTGTATAGCCCAATCCATCTCCACCTTCTTCTTCTGAATAGCTTCTTGCTTCATTGGTTCGTTACCATGCCAGAGTGGGTTCCTTCTTGCTTATTTTCTAACTATTCTCGCCATCTGAGCTTCAGTAAAATTGTTGTTATCTGACGAAATATTAGATTTTGCAGACAAATCAATCATGTCAACTATTCATAACGCAAACATCGAATATTGCACCGATTTGATGCCACTTTAGTGTGAAAAAACGATTGTGAGTAGGAATGATCTAAACTCAAAACGATGTGTATATGTACTATGAAATAATATTTTCCCATTGTTTTCATAACTTTTAGACACTTGATATCAGGATACAGTTTAATGTCCCCCTTCTGTACCATTCAATGCTATTCAAATCTTTTAGATTTTCCCATCATTATCACTGTGATGATTCTTGTAGACCAAGTTTCTTTCATGTTAAATTCATAACCGGAGAATAAAATATTTTTATTGATTAAATTAATATAACTGAAAAAGTCGACCAACTTAGATACCGATTGATTTCATCAACGAGATGTTTTTTTCTAAAACAAAAGTTTTTTTTAAATATTTTAACACAAAGTTTTATAAAATTCAACTTAAACAATAGAATTGATGGCATTGAATATTGAGTTAAAAATGATAATTGCTTACCATACTTTCAAGCGATCCAGTTGATTCCGGATTATCAACATCACGGTACCTCTATTTCGCAATCAAAAGAAAATTAGAATAAGCCAGATTAGGTCATTCAAGACATAAGTCATGTTATCCATCATACAAATAAACAGTATGAAAAGATTAATATACCAAAAAAAGACTGTAATTCAATGAAACTCGGCACAGATTTAAATACTAGGCTTAAGAATATGCTACTAATCTACGGTCACTTATCATTTGCCAAGCCGACAATGAGAAGAGGAGAGTTTGAGTTCAGGGCCGATTGCTTGACAGCTGAGTACCTAAACCAATGAAGCATACCTTTATATTGGTTGAAATGCTGACGATACCTTTGAGAAGCAAATGCATAAAATGCAGGTTAAGAAACCAACAAGAATTAACCGTTAGTAAAATTATTAACCAGTGTATTAGGGGATTGGATAAAGGCTATAATCAGCTGATTGCCATCATCATCAGCTGATTTCGTTTGATTGAAATAATGTATGTATTCCTCATGTGATGGCATAAATATTACGTGAATGTGTAAAACGGTACTGAGAAAGTGTGGATGTAATACACGGCTGTCCTAGTGAAAATAGTTGAAGTGTGTATTGTTTTATTTTCGACAACAAAATGTCTAAGATGATTGATTGATCAACATAAAATAAATATTTAATTTCGACAAAAGAATAAGAAGACGTAAATTATCAGAATCATGAGCAACACACTTCGAATTCATTTTTGAGATGAATGGGGATTTTTAATTTACAAGTAGTATTCATCATGGACTGACATCAGTTGGACAACCATTGAAAATCTGGGAGCATTCGATAGCTGTTTCGTCCTAGTATGAGAATCCTCAGCAGTACGCACCCACGAGCCGGCTAGGAATCGAACTCAGGACCTTAAGATTCCACGATGAACGCGGTAACCATTCAGCCACTGGATGGATATCAGGAAGTTCTAATGAGAAGCCATGACCTGTGGGGTCAACCAGTCGGAAGTGAGGCGGATGCTAACTGAAGGGGAAGACTTTGGGTGATAGTCGCACTATGTTGTGAATTGACAGAAGTTGGAAATTGTGAACCACTGAAAACCGACCCAGTGACTGAATGGTTACCGCGTTCACCGTGAAACCTGAAGGTCCTGAGTTTGACCCCCAGTCGGGTCGTCGGTGCATACTGCTGAGGAGTCCCATACTAGGACGAAACAGCTGTCCAATACTCCCAGATTTCCAATGGTTCTCCAACTGATGTCAGTCCATGATGAATACTACTTCTACATTTCGAATTGTCTGATCTTACATGCATACACACACACACACACACCTACACCTACTTGTCATAGGTATTTATATTAAAATTCATCAAGATAGAGGGTGAGAAAATAAAAAGAGGTCAGGTAGGAAGGCTGATCAACAGTAAAAATGAATGGAGCGAAAATAATAGTACATCGAACTTGGTTTTCATCGCTGAGTTTACCAAAGAAGATTTATTGTGACAACAAGTTGTTTACGAACATATTAAGGTGGTTTCAATTTTCTAAGGCCTCAACAAATTTAAGAATCCGTTCCCAACATGTTTTGTAAATAGGTGTGAAGGAAATAACCACATCAATCCTGTGACTTGTCTCAACGATATGTTTGGTGATCGAAGAAACTGAACATCTGATACCAATGTTTATGGTTTCAGGTGATTTAATTTGTTGCTAAAGCCACTTTGATAAATATGTTTCGAGACACATACTTGCATGCATCTATGTGTGGTGAAACATACATAAGGACGACTACCATCTTTCATCAACACCTGCCACCTATGCTCACTCTATACTTAAGATCAAATGGATGGTCAGAATAATAAGAATAACCAAGGAGGAAGTATGGCTAGCTGGCTGGCTATCAAAGAACAAACAAAGCAATAACCTATCGTCCAATAATCATGCAGAAGGAGGAAGTGGAGATGGATTGGATTGGTTTGAGCATACAATGAAAAGACCATTTGGGGACATCATGCGCCAGACCAGGTCCTCGAGTAGAATCCAAATTGGAAACGACGAGTTGGGCGTCCGAGGGTGACATGGAGGAGATTATGTGAGGAAGAAATGAAAGCTTGTGGGCAGTGGTGGAGCCAGCTTCAAAAGATTTCGAAGGACAGAGTGAAATAGCGATGTGCTACTGAAACCCTATGTTCCAAGAGACAAGTAATAATAATATTAAAGTGGCAAAAATCAATGATTCGTAAAAAAAGCTCCAAAAAATGATCATGAACTTGTGGAAGGTACTTTCCACAATGAAAGAATGCTACAATCCACTTCTCGATGATTAATATTTATATCACAATAATTTTTCGAGTGAACACTTTACGAAGTTTACACAGAATTGAAGAAACTCTGGGCCTAGATAGTGTTTATATAAAATAAGACTGAATATTTCTAATTATTTTGAAAGATTACTACTTACTTGTCCATATGAATCATAGAGATTTGACTTATATTCACTTAGACTTGTGTTTGTCTGAGGCAATAAATGTTTCCTTATTGGTTGTATCTTATTCTGTTCCGAAATAGAAGAACAATTTGAAATTAATGTATCTCTTTTCGAGTTATGAGTAGGGAAGTAATCTGATCGATTTGTTGATTGGTTATCAAGCTGTTTCATATTTCCTGAGGATAGTTCACTTCTTTGTAAAGTGGAACCTTTATAAAATTTAAAGGAAAAAAAAATTAGTCATGGTGTAGTGGGCGTTACTGATAAGAATGGATATAAGTAGTATATATTGAAAGGGCGATAGAAATCATAGGGAATAACTAGTAATGGGTAAGGATTCTGCCCAGAGAAACGCAAGAGATAACATGGGTGTATGAAGAGCAAATAAAGAGAAAAGCAGAAGAGGAAGTGAAGCATATTTTGCAAATGACTTTCTTAGTGCAAGGTGTACCATATTTTTAACATTCCTTCCTTCGTCTGTCTCCTTTCATTCCCTTCAATAGTTCTGATGTTAAGAAAATCTTTGTATGGAAATCGTTAAAGTAATAGGCAAAAAAAGGGAAGCATTTAAACTTCAATGAAACAAAGTTTGACTTGTATGGTTTTCACTTAAATGATGAGTTATCTTGTGCAGCGCCAAACTGATAAAAACAACCATAAATGGTCTGACAAAGACGAAACACTAATCAACGGTGCCTCTGTCTCGCAGAATGTATAACTTTACAATTAGGCAGACAGATGAAATCGACACCAATCGTAATGCTATATACTTTGTCTTAAAAATCTTATGATTTATACCTTTATGAACTTTATCTAATTTCATTTCGTATTATGACTTCATACAGTCACTGCCATTATTACTATTCTCATCTCACTATCTTTCTCCTGTTGACTTACTATCTGATATGCTAATGTGAAGCGTGGCAAATCGGATAAGAAAGAAGCTACCCTAAGGTCTTATCTTATATATACTTATCTGTTTATACATGCGTTGCAATCATAATCTTATAAATCTATTTATGGTTTATGCTGGTTGCTTATTTCTTGTTGTGTATGGTTTACCAAATACCTGTCAATGTGTAACAGTATTTTGAGAAGGAAAGTGTTTTCACTAGACTCATTTCATTTTATCAGCTTTATTATTCAACACACTAGTTTTGTAAAAACTGAAATTGTATTTGTTAATACCTTGGAAAAAGGAAAAGGTAAGCATTTTTTCGGGATAATGAATGACTGATTAGATGACTTAAAATCAAGTGGCCAATCATTGCATCGAATGATAGGTCCTGTATCATTCAACCTAATAATCTTTATCTTAAAACTTCGAGCTATAAGGATCTATTTTCCTACCTGGTTGGGTTCCTAGTATCGTTGATCGGTAATTCTTCCTACTGAATTTTCTAAGCATTACTTTGAAGAGCTATCTTCACTCCTGACAGAGGATTGGTAGACGTTGTGACATTAAATTGCATACTTAGGTTCCACAGCTGTTACGAGTTATCAGTGAGAAAAAAGAAGCCAACGTCAAGAAGATCACGTCTTTTCAGATGATTCACTTTATAATATTTGTTGTTGCCATTTCAGGCATTATCATTTAGTTTATAAACGATATTTATGGAAATGCAATAAGAAAAATACTCTAAGTAAGTCGCCTAAACTCGAGTGCTTTGAACAGTTCTCTTACTTAGAAAGTTAGATCAGCGCTGATACGTCAGTAACTAATAAAATCTCTTCATAGGTACGCAGTATGTATTATCACATCGTGACTTCCGACTGACTATTAGGTGCTGAGTGTACTCCGTTGAAGTTCGCTTTGTTCTACTTTATGACTGTGAGACATGGTCATTAAATGTGAAGGACATAGGGAGGTTTCGGGTGTTCAATTAACGTTGTCTCCGCAGCATAGATGACGTCTCGTAGAACCATCACATTAGTGATGTGAAAAGTCAGACGCAGATGTGTTTGTGAACCTTCATAGACCCACGTGATTGTTACATGGTCACCATCTTTCTGGCTGCTCAATGTTAGGTAAAGTAGATTTAGGACGAAGAAAGGTAAGCGACGGTCAGACCAAGCCATAGCGATAGAGTATGAATCCCCTAACTGTTGAGCTAGGCCACGTTGGGTCCATTACATCAGTCAAAAGATTCTAGATGATATCGCTCAAAAATGATCTCAGTGGTGCAAATGCAACTACACACTATTTTTATCGCAATAGTTACACTGCATTTCGTTATTTGTTCCACTCTCTCTTCCTTTCTTCTTATGATTTGCTAGGATTATTGATTATATTTTTCTGTACTGTTTCTGCCTTTCATCTTGGTATGAGGTGTGGCTGCTAGTACTGTTACACAGTTATGCGAGCTGTCATTTTGAGATGAAATGATTGAGGGGTAATAATAATAATAATAATAATAGTAATGGTAAAAAAAAGCTGAACAAATAAGTTATCAAGCTGACCTGGATAATTCTGCGAGATATTTGCGTATACCGTATCTAGATACTGTCCGTAAGTGCTCAGTGATGATGTTTTGCTTGGTATTTTTTCACTAACTGTAATCGGCTGTCGATTACGTGATAACTTAGTGTCATAGCGAGCTTGAGATACCTGAAAAGGAAACAAGTTACCATTGTTAATGATAGGTTAAATGCGATCCCAAGTGGACATATAACTTGGCGTAATACAATACTGGAATGTGGAGTAAGAAACTATCAGATCAAGGAATATATCATTATTATTTTTCCTTTGGGTTCCTAGTGGAACATAGGGACTCAGTAGCACGCCTCCATTGCACTCTCTTCTCCCCAGTCTTTTGGGCCTGGCACCACATGATCTCCTCCATATCACCCTCAGCTAAGACGCCTGACTTGTCGTTTCCCCTTTGGATTCCACTCGATGGCCATGCCTGGCGAGTGATGTCCCCAGTCGGCCTTCTCCGTGTATGCCCAATCCATCTCTATTTTCTTCTGCATATTTGTTGGTTGATAGGTTCTTGGTTGGTCCGTTAACAGAGTTCCTTGTTGCTTATTCTTTCCGGCCATCTGATCTTTAGTATCGAGCGCAGGCAGTTGTTGATGAATGTCTGTAGTTTGTTGAAAATGCTTTTTGTTACACGCCAAGTCTCTAAACCATATATAAGCAGTGACTTGACATTAGTGTTAAAAATCCGGATCTTGCCCTTTGTGCTGAGTGCAGTAGATCTCCACACTTCTGTGAAAGCTTTCAACTTGATTTGGAAGGTTCCTTGCACCAAATAATGGTCTGAACCTACATCTGCTCCTCTTCTTGATCTCGTGTCAAGTACGCTGCGCCTCCATTTTCTTCACATTGAAACGAAGTCAATCTGATTTTTAGTGTATCCATTTGGTGAAGTCCATATCTGTTTGTGAATATTTTTTTGTTTGTACACACTGCCTGCCTCCAATCACCAAATCGTTGAATGCGCAGAAGTCTGCAAACAGTTCTCCATTCTCATTCATTTCATCACCGAGTGCATCTCGACACATGATGAGTTCTCTTCCTGTGTCGTCTGCTCAGAGTTTGGCATTCATGTCACCCCACCCATTAGAATTTCGAAGTCGCCGTTGCCGTCTGGAGTCTTGTCCAGTACTGATTGCAGTTGTCTGTAGAATTCCACCTTCTTCTTTTGATCTGCATTATTTGTAGGTGCGTAGCGTAGTATTGCATGATTATGACTTTCCTTCCTTTTTGAGTTGAATCTTGCTGTCATGATCCTGGAGGAGATTGGTTCCCACTGAATGAGAGACAGCCTTCAATGTTCTTGGAGACATCATGATAGCCACTCCCTCCGTGTGCTCGTGGTTGTCAAGTGATATAAATTGACTCGAAATTATCCCAATAAATATGTCCGTTCATCTGCCTGGAAAGTAGACAATGGATATTTTCAGTGAGAGACGTCAAATATGATAAGTTTATCAATGAATATGCAAAGTTTCTAATATCAGTCGAAAAAACAAAGCCAGTGTTCACTGGTTTGAATCCGGTCACGGTCTAAATTTTCATTTCACCTTCAAACATCATCTACTATATAATACTGGTCTGCCAAACCAAGGATATCTCAGATAAGCAAAATGAAAATTAAATCCGTACATAGGGTAGACAGTCAGCCACAAAGATGATGCAGAAGGAATAAACTAGAGATATTTATTCATGTATTTTTATTTGTCCACTGGGTTCCTAGTGGAATATAGGGCTTCAGTAGCACGTCACCAGTCTTTTGAACCTGACTCCACAACTGCCCACAAGCTCTCATTTCTTCCTCACACCATCTCCTCCATGTCACCCTCACCTCGGACGCCCAACTTGTCGTTACCCATTCCAGATCCACTCGAGGGCCTAGTCTGGCGCATGATGTCCCCAAATGGTCTTCCCATTGTATGCTCAAACCAATCCAATCTATCTCCACTCTCTTCTTCTGCATATTTGTTAGACGATAGGTTGTTGCTTCATTGACAGCCAGCCAGCCAGAGTTCCTTGTTGCCTTATTCTCACTATTCTGACGACCCATCTGATCTTGGGTATGAAGTGAACGTTGGCGGCAGGTGTTGATGATGTATGTCTGTAGTTTGTTGGAAATGCTTTTCGTAACACGCAAAGTCTCTCAAGCATCACATGGAAGTACTGACTTACTTGATTGACTGAGTTAGTGTTGGAAATCCGGATGTTGTTTACGCTTCATGCTGAGTGGAGTGGATTAGAGTGGAGTGTGCAGTAGATCTCCACACTGATCATTTCAGACTGATGAAAGAAGGCCTACGTGTCTTGGTGTGTTTCCGATCCTGGCTGGCCTTAACGTCCTCATGTTTGCCTGTGCCGCCGCCTGTATTTGAAACGATGCTGCGTAGGTGGGTAGGTAGATGAAAGAGATTACTTCCTTTATAGACATACAACTTCTAAAATAAAGTCTTTTTTGCTTTCATTACAATTAGAAGTTGAGGTCCAAGAGGGGGAAGAGGTGTACAAAGTAATACTAGAAGTTACATCATGTTGATGACCATGATAATGAAAGTGGTCGAACAAACTTATTTTGAATACAAAGGTTAGGTTTGTAATGGTGGATTGTAATCACCTCTACTATGTGAAGTAAGTGAGTGAGTAATGCGTGAGATAAATTAATTGGTATGTTATGAATAATTTTGAATGGTTTTCTGATATCTGCTTGATGTCCAGTGTTAACAAAGTGTGAAAGTATGGAGCTGTTTATTGTTCTAATTTATCCCTTACTCAACCATGATGAGTGGTGCTCAGAAATTCGATGATGGACTTGCCTCATTGTACACCCAATGTAACTAGCTCGGTACGAGCAGTTGAAGTGATAAAGGCATATGCAATAGGTCGAATTAAGTAGTGTGTCCTTATTTCTTCCACCTAGAATCGTGCGGTTTCACAAAATGGAACATAATTTAGCGGCTGGGAATGCTTTTTGCGAGACTCTTTTTATGCACTGTGTAATGATCTCACTAGCAATGTCAGTCTTCAATTTCAGCTTCATGAAGATTTGCTTGATTCTGCTACTTCCATGTACATTTATCACTTCAACTTCTCGTACCGAGCTAGTTACATTGGGTGTACAATGAGGCAAGTCCATCATCGAATTTCTGAGCACCACTCATCATGGTTGAGTAAGGGATAAATTAGAACAATAAACAGCTCCATACTTTCACACTTTATTAACACTGGACATCAAGTAGATACCAGAAAACCATTCAAAATTATTCATAACATACCAATTAATTTATCTCACGGATTACTCACTCACTTACTTTACATAGTAGAGGCGATTACAATCCACCATTACAAACCTAACCTTTGTATTCAAAATAAGTTTGTTCGACCACTTTCATTATCATGGTCATCAACATGATGTAACTTCTAGTATTACTTTGTACACCTCTTCCCCCTCTTGGAACTTAATTTCTAAAACTTATCATTTTCCCAACTTATTTAAAAACTGTCATTATTGTTTACCAACCCCCACCACTTGATTGGTATTTTCATTGAATTGTGAACCTGTATATTAGTGTAGAGTCCAAGAGGAAGATCTAATTGAAAAGGGGGTGTATTTCTTTGCTGAATCAGTCTTTTTCCTAAATGCCTTGATGGGAATATTCAATGTACTGACACCATATTGTAATTTCTTGAAAAGGAAACATTATTACCATGTTATGAATTGAAATTTAAAAATACATTAAAAGAACTATAATTACTCTTCACTTGAGCGAAAAGATCTCAATGGAGAGAAGAAGACGTTTGCACTGTAGCTTAGAAATGTAAAAAAATCTCCATTTTCAGCTCTATAAGTGAATTTCAATTTATTGTATAGTCAATTCTGTACAGATCCATGGGTAAATGGTAATAATAATAATAATATTTCAAGTTGTTATTCATCGTAGACTGACATCAGTTGGAGGAACAAAGGAAACCTGGGAGCACTGGACAGCTGTTTCGTCCTATTATGGGACTCCTCAGCAATGCGCACCCACGACCCCACCAGCAGGGACCGAACCCGCGACCTTCAGGTTCCGTGGCCAGCGCGTTACCATTGAGCCACTGGGTCAGAATCCAATGCTCCATATTTCCAACTTCTGTGCTCATTGGTGACTAGCTTCGAGAAGTATTCCCGAAGTTCCAATGAGAAGTCGTGACCGGTGGAGTCAAAGCCTGATGGCCGTGAGGACAAATACTCAACGATGACATTGGGTGACGGTTTGCGCTACATCGTGAGCTAACAGAAGTTGGAAATATGGAGCATTGGATTCTGACCCAGTGGCTCAATGGTAACGCGCTGGCCACGGAACCTGAAGGTCGCGGGTTCGATCCCTGCTGGTGGGGTCGTGGGTGCGCATTGCTGAGGAGTCCCGTAATAGGACGAAACAGCTGTCCAGTGCTCCCAGGTTTCCTTTGTTCCTCCAACTGATGTCAGTCTTCGATGAATAGCAACTTGAAATATTTCCAAATCTCTACAACCCCCTCAAAAAAATAATAATAATAATGGCAGTAATAATAATAAAGTAATAATTGATCATACTCTATCGCCTTCCAGTCTATCTCTACTGTTTTTCATCCGTAAAATGTCATCTTCATACAATATATCCTTATTGTATTGACTTTGAACTGTTGGGAAATCAATATCTTCAAGTAAATCATCAAATTTTTGTCGAATACTATGATCATAATTCGAAGGTTTCAATTTGTTTGAATCTACAACATGGGAAAATCATTTGAATCATACATCATTAACACTAAAAGTAATTGTGTAGAAATATTTACTACAAACATATTTACAATAATTTAGAAGTAGTATTCATCATGGACTGACATCAGTTGGAGAACCATTGGAAATCTGGGAGTATTGGACAGCTGTTTCGTCCTAGTATAGGACTCCTCGGCAGTACGCACCCACGACCCGACTGGGGGTCAAACCCAGGACCTTCAGGTTTCACGGTGAACGTGTTAACCATTCAGCCACTGGATCGGTTACCAGTGGTTCACAATTTCCAACTTCTGTCAATTCACAACACATAGCGCGACTATCACCCAAGGTCTTCCCCTTCAGTTAGCACCCGCCTCACTTACGACTGGTTGACCCCACAGCCTCATGATATCCATGTGGAAGCAAGTCAATAATGAGCACTATAGAGTAATGTATTTTTGAGATGAATGGGGACTTTTAATCCAGAAGTAGTATTCATCATGAACTGGTATCAGTTGGGGAACCATTGAAAATACTACTTCGAAATTAAAATCCCCGTTCATCTCAAAAATACATTACTCTATAGTGCTCATTATTGACTTGCTTCCAGATAGATGGATATCACGAAGCCCTGATGAGAAGCCATGATCTATAGGGTCAACCAGTCGTAAGTGAAGTGGATGCTAACTGAACACCTTGGCTGATAGTCGCACTATGTTGTGAATTGACAGAAGTTGGATATTGTGAATCACTGGAAACCGACCCAGTGGCTGAATGGTTACCGCGTTCACCGTGAAACCTGAAGGTCCTGAGTTTGACCCCTAGTCGGGTCGTGGGTGCGTACCGCTGAAGATTCGCATACTAGGACGAAACAGCTGTCCAATGCTCCCAGATTTTCAATGGTTCCCCAACTGATGTCAGTCCATGATGAATACTACTTCTAAATTAAAAACCCCCATTCATCTCAAGAATATATTTACAATAAATTAATTCATTGCATAAGTGGTTATGACCAATCATAGAGGAATTATAACAGGTAGTCAAGTTCAAGGTGGTTATGAAGAGTTCTGTTATCCGCATTCAGAGAGACTTCTACTTATCGTCTTTGCAAAGGGGTGAATGAAAGATATAGGAAGATGAAATGCATCAGTCAAATTCCTACGTTATTTGAAAGGAGTGAGGTCAACTCTAATTTCAAATCAACAAGGTGTCGTGTATAAGAGTCTGTGTTAACAAAACATTACCAGGAGAATTCAAATCTGGATATTGCTTCATTGATCCTGGCGGATAGTGGCTAGCAGTGGAATCCACGATGCGCACTTCGTCCTATTTGGGACTCGTCAACTGGATGTACTTCCTTCCCAGTGGGTGATGTTGTTCCCAACGCGATTCGAACTCGAGACCGATTGTTTCAAACGCCAGAGCGTTACCCACTACACCACCGAGCCAAGATAGCCACTTCTTGTGCAACGAGCATAGTTTTAGTATAATTGCTTGTATCATACCGTCTTTGATTGGACCGAGTTGGTCGGTCTCTATCGGCATATGGGGTCCAATCAACGACGGTATATTACAAGCAATTATATCGTCGCACAAGAAGTGGCTGTCGTGACTCGGTGGTGTAGTGGATAACGTCTTGGCGTTAGAAGTGACCAATTCGAAGTCCAAATCCCGGTGGGAACAACATCACTCACTGAGAGGCAGGTACGTCCGGCTGACGAATCCCAAATAAGACGAAATGCGCACCCTGGATTCCACTGCTAGCCACTACTTATCATTATTAGAATTAGAACACAGACAATATCGAGGCATCTGCACACAAACTCATATTTGCCGATAGAGACCGATCAATTCGGTTCAACCAACGACGGGATAACACAAGTAATTATACTTGAAAATATGGTTGTTTTATTTTATGCAGTGAATTGATTTTCACACAGCTACTGAACAGAATTTTCATAGTTTGAATAAATAAGTAAAAGAATAGTTGATACTGGATGATGATTGAAGGCGAAATGAAAATTTGGACCGCGGTGGGATTGGAACCGGCAACCACCAGGGTTTCGGCTCCATGCTCTACCAACTGAGCTACGACGCTCGACTACCGACCAGACTTTTATCTTACTTCAATCACCAAGGGGTTTGCTGAACTACGATGTGAATTCGATCATTGTAGTTCAGTTGGTAGAGCATCGGGCCGGAACCCCAATGGTCGCCGGTTCGAATCCCACCACGGACGAATTTTTTCATTTCACACAATCATCTCAAATAGTCAAAGTGGTAATAAGAGAATAATGATGAACATATGTTTTAGGTAGTTTCTTCTTGACTCACTAACCAGCAAGTTGATTTTGAATGTAATTCAAAGTGAATATAGTGACTGAAATCTTCAATTATTATCAACTAATACCATACTGATATAACTCAATTGAGAATAGATGTGTTTCCTGAGGTATAAACCTTACTTATAGCCCAAGATTACAAGAGGAAATAAGTGAAGTAGAAAAGTTGGATGCTTAAGTCAATGAGCCATATTTCATATAGTGAATACTTTACTTACTGTATACATGGCACCATTAAATAACATCTGAAGAACTGATAATTAAGTCATTCAAGTAATCTTACTAACTGATTCTTAATGTGTAGAGTTGTGGGTAAATTGGCTTATGCAGTTAACTTTAATTCAGTGGGTCATGAGTTTGTACAGTGCTCCCTCCACCTACCAAAGTTTGAGCAGCTAGGTAATACCCCATTAGCCCCTGCACAACAGATGTGACTAACTCCTTACTGCACGAATGTCCGCAGGGTTGAGTGGTTTTCAATTTTTGGTTTCTGTGAATGTATAATAGAATAGTCTATTATAAAATTTAATGGTCGACGAACATATAACTTTACATTCAAACTTTAGACAGTTTTCTATGAGCTGTTAACTAAAGTGACTATAAATTTCTGTCCAGTAATATAGAATCGCATATAAAAACAAGTGGTTAACGTTACAGTATTATTTACTTGATTACGTTTCGAGCATAAATTATTACTGCTCATAATCATATCAATGTAATCACACTCTACTTTCGACATCTGATTTTATAGTCCTGTCACCTGATCTCTGTTTGTTTTTTGATTGGTAGTAAAATTTTCCATATCTCTGGTATAGGTGTTGCGTCATTCCTATAACATGTGTTGGGTGTGGATTCGATGAACAAAGATTCAGTAATTAATCTCTCTCTCCACCTAGCTATATTAGACTTAAGTACAGTGGTTTTGTCCCACCCTATTGTATGGTTGTGTGTTAATGAATGTAATGCAATGACTGAGTGTTTTTCTAGGTTATTGATCTTATTGGGGTCTGCCGTTCTATGTTTAGCTAAATTCCTATGTTCTGTTAATCTAACTGACCCCGACCGGTTAGTTTGACCTATGTATTTGACTTCACAGTCATTACATGGAACTTGGTAGATTATATTATTTTGCCTAATTGGTTCTGTCGGATCTTTCAGCCGACAAAGCTTACCCCTAAGTGAGTTTGTTGGTTTAAATACCACCCTAATTCCAACCTTGTTGAGAATCCTATGTATGGTTTCTGATGTTCCTTCCTTGTATGGTATCACAACAGAGGTGTTGATTTCCTTTCTACTTATGTTGTCACTATTATTTGTATTTGTATTAGTGTTATTATTTTGCTTCTTATGTGTCCGTGTGAATTTCTTAATAAAATGATGGGGATAATTATTAATTATTAACGCTCTCTGTTCTCTGCAATCTTTTGAACCTGACTCCACCACCGCCCACAACCTCTCATTTCTTCATCGCATCATCTCCTCCATGTCACCCTCACCTCGCACGCCCAACTCCCCGTTTCCCATCTAGGTTCCACTCGAGTGCATGACCTGGCGCGTCATGTCTCCGAATCGTCTTCTCAGCATTGCATGCCCAATACATCTCAACTTCCTTCCAGTGCATATTTGTTGAGTGGTAGGTTCTTGGTTGGTTCTTTACCAGCCAGAGTTCCTTGTTGTTTATTCTTTCTGGCCATCTGATCTTCAGTAACAAGTCAGAGTAGGCAGTTGTTGATGAATATCTGTAGTTTGTTGGAAATACCTTTCGTAACGCACCGGCAAGTCTCTCAACCATCACATAGAAGCACTGACTTACTTGACTGAATTAGTGTTGAAAATCAGGATGTTGTTCGCGCTTTATGCTGAGTAGAGTGCAGAAGATCTCCACACTGATATCAGGTTAATGAACACCTGTCTTGCTGTGTTTCCCATCATGGCTGGTTTTGACGTCCTCGTCTGTGCCACTGCCTCCTGTAGCTGAAACGACTCTGCCTAGATAGGTGAAAGAGTCTACTTCCTTCAAGTTTCTCCCACTGATGGTTATTGGAACTTGTTGGTGGTGGTGTTCGTTGGGTATCTTCATCACCTCTACCTATGTCTTCTCTACGTTCACCTGAACGAAGTCCCATCTTCCTTCGCTGCCCTGCCTCGCCTCTTCTGTCAACTTCTTGCATTTTCCCTGTAGATCTTCGAGTTTGTGTGACATTCGACACAAGTCAACAGCGAAATCCAAATCTTCTAGGATCTTTTCCCCGGTCCAGCCAGCCTACCCCCCTCTTCTCACAGCTCCCCACTGTTGTCTGCTGCATGATCCAGTCGACCACAATCAGGAATATCATGGGGGATAGTAGACAGCCATTGTTTTACTCCTGTCTTCACTTCACTCCAAAAGCATCACTGAGCTTCCCATTGTGAATTACTCGGCTGGCATGTGGCGTCTTCATATAGTTGTTGAATGAGGTTGATAAAGGTTTGTGTTATTCCACAGTGTTGAAGCAACTGTCAAATTACTTCTCGGTCAACGCTGTCAAAGGTCTTCTCAAAGTCGATGAAGTTGAGGTAGAGATCCAGTTGACTGCTATTCTATGCTCTGTTCTATGATGATGCGTAGAGTGGCGTTGCGATTTGGTCCGCACATGATTTGTATTTCCTGAATCCAGCCTGTTCCGATCGTAGTTTTGAATCCAGTGTATCCTTTAGTCTCTCCAGGATGATGCGACCTAATATTTTGCTTCGAGTTGAGGAAAAGTTAGCCATTCCCAACTGTTTGATGCTCAGTGTTGCTGATTTTACCAGTCACTCATATTTTTTAAAAGTTATCACATGTGCACAGCGAAAGGCATAGAAGAGATGCATCACATGGTAGAACATTATTGTTTCGTGGATAAAATTTAATGATAGGGAGTGAAGTGGTGGAATATCTCAACCACTACACTTACTTTGGGGAGTTACATCAGCCGGAAGGGGCTGACGAAATGTCATCTCTGTGATACAGAATGCATGTTTGACTCTTGCCAACTTGCGTCATCTGTGGTGTCGACTGGTAAGGTAGTCGACTATCTATCAAAGCATGAGTATACTGCTCTACAGTCCGTTCCTTCCTGTTGTACGGCTGTGAGACATCACCGTTAAGAGTAGAAGACTTGAAGTGATTACATGGTTTTAATCATAGGTGTCTTTGTACCAACTCATCCTCCCACCGCGGCTAAAAGGTGGCACCCGGGTATTTCAGCTTTTACTGTTAGCACGGTCAGTAGGCAGTTGACCAAGTTCAGGAGTCAATCACAGACTGCATCCGAAGAGCGGTTCCCCAGCCAGGAGGAACGATACAAGCTTTATCAGTCTGAAAGTTCAATAGCGATTGCTGATGCGGTCACTAGGGTGGACCTCCTCAATGACTTGCAACCTATACCAAAGATGCAACCAAGCATGCGAACCAAATAGATCTTACTAGTATATCATTCGAGAGAGACAGCAGGAATATAGCTTGCAGTCTTAATCACATCTCACATGCACTGTAAGATTCACAATACCCCGTCGCTTACGATATATCAAGCAGTAAATAGCAGTGAGGAACGCTCTTATCTTACAGGTTAGCTAGTCCGAAAGGTATATGTGCTTCTGCTTAGCTCCACCATTACCCACACTAAGTGGGTTTTGTCACTTCATAAGCTTAGCGCTTGACGGAAAGACAATGAACTGGTTAACAGGTGCATATCCGGTTATCAACGTGATTACCAAGAAGATTTACCGTAATGCAATCAGACACTCCAGTCGCGTAAAACCTAAGTCAGGGGATACGGTTTAAATGTGTATAGTCGACCAAGCGCTTGGATGATGACTCAAAATATCATAATTATCGGCAAGTCGATTATCCGATCAAATATAATTGAATGTGTGTCATCAGCTAGGCATTTAGCTAGCAGTTTAAAATACTCACATCCTTAATTAGATGGTGAGGCATTTGTCTACCTTATGAAAGTCATAGTTATTCCTGCTTGTTTACGTTACATCTGAAACCTTTTTTTTTACCTTAAGAAAAATGAATTGAAAACACCCATTCAATGCGATATAAGTCAACATAAACCAATTTTTAAAAAAATGTAAAAATGAATTACGAACTAATTATTCATAATATTTGCTCACCATATGAAGAATTTTTGTTCTCATCATATAACCTTTTTTGTTCAGAAAGAAGACTTTTTGAATAATCTTGAAGATCATCTTGTATGTCTTGAGTTGGTGTAGCATTGAAACTCTTTGAATTAAAAATAAGGAGACAGGAAAAAAAGAATCAAAGACTGATAAACATCTATGTATGAGCATTCACAAATATTACTTAAAAAGCTTATGTTATCAACAATTAAATGTTAGAAACTTGAGAGAAATCCTGATGAAAAGTTGATACTCACTGAAATCTAATGATAAGAATAGGAAAGCGAAAAATTCCACAGAATATGTACACAGTGTTCCAAGTAAGATAATGCGGCAGATATACTTAGATTTTGAGGGAGTTGTGGAGATTTGGAATTATTTCAAGTTGTTATTCATCGAAGACTGACATCAGTTGGAGGAACAAAGGAAACCTGGGAGCACTGGACAGCTGTTTCGTCCTATTATGGGACTCCTCAGCAATGCGCACCCGCGACCTCACCAGCAGGGATCGAACCCGCGACCTTCAGGTTCCGCGGCCAGAGCGTTACCATTGAGCCACTGGGTCAGAATCCAATACAAATACTCAGCGATGGCAATGGGTGGCGTTGCGCTATGTATCGTGAGCTAACAGAAGTTGGAAATATGGAGCATTGGATTCTGACCCAGTGGCTCAATGGTAACGAGCTGGCCGCGGAACCTGAAGGTCGCGGGTTCGGTCCTTGCTGGTGGGGTCGTGGGTGCGCATTGCTGAGGAGTCCCATACTAGGACGAAACAGTTGTCCAGTGCTCCCAGGTTTCCTTTGTTCCTTCAACTGATGTCAGTCTACGATGAATAACAACTTGAGATATACTTAGATTATAAAAAAAAAGATCGAGATTCATAAACAAAACATTCTTTGGCGTCAATCTTAGAATCATTCGCCTGTACGAAACTCATTCATCAGTACGCAAAGTTGGAATATTGAATGATTTCAATATGTGTATATCAGTTTTACTTGATTCTGTGCAGCTGAATACATCAGTCGTACCATAAGCCAACTTATACAAAGCGCTCACGAATACTACCCAACCTGATTGCATAAAGGGGAGAATGGAAATGCATCTTCAGCACTGTAATGGAACACAGAACATTTGGCTCCTTTTGATAGAGTCCTTCAAAAGTCTGAACAAAATACGATTAAGTCACTCGAAAGAAGTGAGGTTAAGACATCACATCTAGGCATAGCTGAGGTACTAACAATTTTAAAATTTAAACCATCATTATGCATCCAAAAAAAGTATGTGCAACCTCTTTCTTCGCCACAGCTATCGTAGACGATTGATCACATAACTATTTTATCTTGTAATTTTGTTAGTTACTATTATTGACTGATATGATATACTTGTAATTCTCCGTTGTTTTTATAGCGTCGAATTGTTCGACGCCTATTGGCATATGAGCTTCTATGCGGATGCCTCGATATTGCCTGAATGTCAATTATGATAATTTGGTTGGTTGTGGCCAGTAGAAGAATACACGATGCGTGTTTTGTCAGCTAGATGTACCTGCAATCCAGCGAGTGTTGTTCTCACTAAGAGTCGAACCTCGTACCCATAGTTTCAAACGCCAAGGCGTTATCCACTATGTTACGGAGACACTTCTTGTAAAATGGATAGTAGTTATTACTATTGATTGACATACTTGTAATTCTCCATTGTTTTTATTGGATTTTGTTCAACCTCTATTGGCGTATGAACTTCTATACAGATGCCTCGATATTGTCTGAATGTTAATTAGGACGAAACGAGCGTCCTGAATTCTTCTGCTAGCCACAACCAAACAAATTATCATTATTTTAGGACAAAGTGACCATACAGAATACAGCTGATCTTTAGTATCCAAATCAGCTGGTTGAAAAAAATTTCACCACCGTTAAAAATGTCAAAATGAACTATGCAACTTTTAAATTTTTTTTCGTCTCATTTACAGGAGTGACTATAAAAGCCATCCTAGCAACAACTGAAATAACCAATCAGGCTTCTTTATTTTATGAAAATCTGACTTTCTAGTTGAAATGAAAAAGCTTTCTTGGTTATTTTGATTGTTGCTAGGATGATCTTTAGTGTTCCCTCATTTATCGTGTACCAGCTGATTCAATAAAAGTAGTTGAAATAATTAGATCGTATAACGTAAATTAAATTCGGTACACTAATGAAATGATCCTCTTATGTTTCAATTACTAATGAAGTTCAAAAGTCTATATGAGTGATTTTCAACAAGTATAATGTTGTTCAGTGTTTCTATATAACATTAGAGCATATGATGGTTTTAAGTCAGAGATAAAAACCTACAACCATGATTGAATATATTCCAAAGTATGTTCTATGAATATCTCATTTGATTTATCTGAAAAGTAAATTAGTGTAAGAAGAGTTACTACCCACCCACCTATTACCCCCATACCACCAGGAATTAAACCAAAACCCTTCAAGTTCCATGTTCACCAGATTACCATTGATTCACTCGATCGGAATTCAATGGTTCATATTTCCCTACTTCTGTTATTTCATGATATATATAGCGTAACACACACCCAATGTCACCGGTGAGTAAATAACCTCATATTCATCATGAACTGATTATCAGTTGGAGTAACATTGAAAACCTGGGAGTACTGGACAGCTGTTTTGTCCTAGACCTTCTAAAGTAGTATCACCATTACTATTTATAGCATGAAGAATCACAAATTGAAGTGTGAACACTTTCTTGTTTTAATATTACTGGATATTACTGTCTAGATCATTCAAAGAGGCCTGAAGAATCCACAAAGCCTTCAAAACCTATCAGGTTCATTTACATATTTCAAGATAATCACATCATTTTATGTGTCATCATGTTGGTTATGAAGATGACAACACCACGGAATACTTTCTAGGAATCGTACGACTAGTAAATGTAAAGTGTGAAGGTTGATGTTATCGAGTTAGTAAGCATGTTGCCAAACTCATGTTACCTCAACAAACAAAATGGCATAGCAATGGAAACTATTTCCATTGGTAACCTTGATAATTTGATGCAGTCTTCTCTCTTTTAAAAGAGATAAGGTTAGTTGAGGCGACTAGTCAAATGCTTTGTCCGATTCAACCAGCACTTACATTCGCTTAGCTTATAACTTCTTAAACTGGACACATTAGTAAGTCAACATATGGATCTCATGAAGATGTAGACCACAGTACTTGAAGGTTCTTCGTTCAATCCCCGGTTGCGCCATGGTGCGCACTGCTGAGGAGTCCCGTACTAGGACGAAACCACTATTCGGTGCTCTCAGGTTTCTAATGTTTCCCCAACTGATATCAGTCCATGGTGAATACCAACCTGGAATCAATCAATAACTCGCAGCAAGACTCTAAATTGAACAAATGAATAAAATGTTAGGCAAATCATTGTTAAAGTATAAGCATATTATACAGTACTACTTAATATGGCAAAAATAGGTAGTATTGCCTTACTCTTCGATTTCGTGAATTATGATTCCATTCATTATTGTTTTTTATTTCATTGGAAGAATATTCTCGAAAAGGCTTTCTTGACATTCTTCTGTCAATAAAACCAACCATTTCACTATCAACAGCATACTTTGAAGGTAATTCAAATGATTTTCTCAAAAGATTATTTATTGTTGATACTCTAGTTGTTGTTGTTGTTGTTGTTGCCGGTGGTGATATCCTTTGACCAGAATATGTTCTCGATCTAGCCGAAGATTTTTTAACAAAATCTATTGGATTACTAAAATTCAGTGGTTTGTGCCTTTCATCTTGTAATGGCTTTGTCTTATTTTGCATATATAGTGAATCTCTTGTTAATAAATTTAAATCATCCGGAATACTGAAAGACAAAATATACAACGTGTTTATGGACCATTCATGATGACTTCAAGGTTATTCACATGATAATAATGTACTAATACATTTGAATTCCGTTCAAGAGGACGGCATATACGGCTGAATAAGTCGAAAGCAGTGTCAATAGTGAGGAGAAACACAGTTGGTTGAAGTCGAGATTAACTGATATAGCAAACCAGTATTATATATATATATATATATATATATATATATCACCGTCATCTCAGCCAAAACCATTGTGAAGCTTTGAAATATCTCCAAAGAGATGATCGAGTGGTGCGGAGTACTGTTGATGAATAAATCTGACAATGTTCAAAAGATCCAGTCTATCCTTAAGAATTCAACCAAAGAAACGATGAGTTGAGTGTCTAAGGGTGACATGTGATCATGTGATCATGTGAGGAAGAAATGAAAGGTTGTGGGCAGTCGTGGAGCCAGGTTCAAAAGATTGCAGAGAACAGAGTTGGATGGAGACGTGCTACTGAAGCCGTATGTTCCACTAGGAACCCAAGGGGCAAATAATAATGATAATAACAATGAGGTACAATAATTTCCTAACAGTGTGAAAATAAGAGGAGTATAACTCAACCACTGAAACCAAACAAGAAGAATAACTTGCTACCAATAAAACAGAAAAAAATACGACTGGTGCATATTTATACTGCCTTAGATTACTTCGTATACACTAATAACGCTGTAGGGAAGTAATTACTCATAAGAATACTTCGTAAACATGCTCATTCATTCGACTATTTACCTTTACACGTGTATATAAGTTACAGAAATATCAGTTCAATAATCGTGTGTGTTACTTGCTAATATCACTGCCGGTGACTTATTGACAAAATCAAAGCAGAACCTGGCACGCAAAAATATCCATTCAAGTTGCTAGACCTCACAGTAGTACACAAAGAACAGGTGAATAGGAAAGGAGTAATATCAAAGAAGACAAAGTTATATGAGAGAAATAAGCAATTTGAAGATTGAGCTTAGTGCGAATATTCAAGTTTTAGAAAATGTCAAACAGAGAATACAACTGCGCTGTTCCGGCCGATTTTTAACCATCTCACCAACTGTCCTCAACTACTGATTCCTATAATCTCGACGACCCCAGCCAGGTAGTCTACATCTTCCCACACGACATAGACCAACAGTCAGGAACTTCATCGACTGGAGCAACAGCCTTAGTCTGGTCACCATGAACCCACTTCCAGCCTAAACTAACTTCCTCTAGCATGACACGTCAAGGTACGCGGTGGCTCAACATATGGAACACATGTCCAAACCGTCTCAAATGATGAAGGTTCGCAGTCTCATCAATCAGCTTGTCAACACGTCCTCACAAGGTGATTCCACCAAACACAAACAATGCTATGAAGACACCTATGATCAAAACCCTGTAATTGCTTCATGTCTTAAACTTTTAACGGTCATGTCTCACAACCGTACAACAGGAGCGAATGGAATACAACGCAGCACACCCACCTTTTGATTAATAGTCGGATATGTCGCCGGTCGGCGCCACAGATGACGCAAGCTGACAAATGTCAGACGGGCTTTCTGTATCTGAGCTGAGATTTCGTCGGCAACCAACCCATTCGGTCTAGTGAAACTCCCAAAGTAAGTGAAATATTCGACATTTTTCACCACTTAATTTCCTATAATTAAACTGGGAGTTCTTGCAGCAGAGCAGTCCTGGAAAATCATCTCACATTTAACGGGAACGAAAAGAATTCCAAACATATTCAGATTTCTAAACGTGTTCACAAGACCTAGCATTTTGTCAGCATCTTCTCCCAACAGAACCATATTGTCTGCATACTCCAAGTCAACCGGATGACCTCCAAGGAGTAGGTCAATCCCTGTGAAATCAGACGTACTTAAAGTTATGTCCATGATTACGTTTATGAAGAAGTTATATAGGAACGATGATACAGTGGATATCCTTGACAAACACTACTAGTTGCCATCAAAGTAAATAAAAGTTTTCTATTACTGATCTTTTAATCCCTTCTACTCTAAGTGCGAAAAACCCGTTATGTATCGATAGTGTGCAGTTTTGTATAAAAGCATGTAGTTATCATTTGAAGTGAAGTTAATTATATCACAACTCGGAAAGTTTGATAATCCATAACCGATTCATTTAAAACACAAATGTTTTTATACATCATGAACTACAAGAAATGTGTTTAAAAAGACTGTGATATGGTAGTATATTGAGTTATTTGAGAGAAAGTAGTAAAAGAGTCTTACAACTTTTCTTTGTTTCACAGTTTGTATGAAGCCATAGATATTGCCCAGATATCCAGATCAAAGAAGATAGCTCTTTTGAGGGGCCAATTTTCGAGCCTTAAACTAAAAATCTACTCCACAAGGCAGGAGCTAGATGTTCAAGGTTTCCCAGTAATCAAATCAGATTCCCACACCATTTGTTCATGCCTATCAGTCTAACGATAAACGCAAGATATTTGTCTTGACTTTTTCCTCTTTTGTGAAAATGTGCGCCACACACACACACACACACACACACACACACACACACAGGACATACAACAAAATCAACGTTAAACCTCGAACATAAATGCATCAGTTCACGTTCTCATACTTCACAGCGGTATACAAACAACAGGAGGGATAGAAAAAGTGATATCAAAAGGCACATAGCTGTGTGAGAGAATAAACAATTCTGAAGGTAAGCTTTAGTGCGAATATTCAAGCTTTAGAAGATGTCAAGGAACGAATGCATCCACGCCATTGAAACTGGTTTTTAGGCATGTCACTAGGTGTCCTCATCAACCGCTGATTCCTTTAGTCTCGAGGACCCCAAGCAAGCAGTCTACATTTCCCCCACACGGCTCAAGCCAAAAATCAGGGACTTCATTGACTGGTCTGACCACCCTAAACGCTTTTCCATCCAAATCTAACTCTCAATAACATCGCACGTCGAAGTAGGTGGTGGTTCGGTATGCGCATTACATGTTCAAACCGTCTCAAACGATGAAGGCTCACAGACTCATCAATCGACTTGTCAGCCTGTCTTATATCTAGTACCCTTTACCCGACCACGACATTCCTCACATGGTAATTCCACCAAACGATATCAATATTACGAATAAAGCTGTCAGGTACAATGTGATCATCTCGTCACAGATTATAAATGTATGAAAACATGAGAGTATTTAAGAAAGAGCGAAATTTTACACACGCTATACTGTATTAGCAGGACAATATAGTATAATCGATGGGACCTAAAGAATTAATTGTATACACAGTTTCAAATGGAAATTTATGACAAACAACTGTACAAACCTTTGAAATTTCTTAATTCCATCTAGATTTTTATTATCAATGAATTCTTCTTTATGATTAATATTATTACGACTGTTGCTTCTAAGACGTCGAAATGATGATTGTGGATCATGTCCAAAATCTGTACTTGGACGTTTATAAATATAATCATATAAGTCATCATTATCATAACCGTCCAGTGTTTTTCGTCTTAAAGAGTTATTTGCTGATTTTAGTTGACGATGATGAATACCTTCTGAATGTAATCTACGCAATAAAGATGCTGATGGTGCCTTTGAATGAAATTTATTCGACTGAGATGAAAAGAAAAATAATTTTAACAGAATTTTAAAAAAAATTATGTTTAGATAGTAATAATCTATCAAGTATATAAAGAATATAAACTAACCAGAATATTGATGAACCAAGTACATTATCAAATTGACTCAACATTCCAGACTAAATTATACAGTATAGAAGGAAGTAATTCCATTTTAATCTATTTATCAGAAATGTTACACAGTGAAATGGTGTGATTTACTGGATAATGTTTCAGACACAATTTATTGTCCATATTCATATCAGGAAGCTAACTCCACAACTTCGAGACACAGTTCACATATTCCTACTCCTCTCTCCTTCTCTGTGATGATAAGGGTAGTAGAATTTTCCATACGTCTGGGGATAGGTGTAGAATCATTCCTTTTACTGCATGTATTTAGTACTGATTCGATAAACAAAGATTCAATTATCAATCTCTCATTCCCTCCCTCCACCCAACAAAGTTAGTTTCCAACACTGTCACTCTATCCCACCCCTCTGTGTGATTGTGTGTCATAGCATGCACAGCTGTAGTCGAGCCTTTTTCTAGATTTTTTATCTTATTAGGATCTACAATGAACATGAATCATATCCGAAACGTTATCCAGTGAGTAACACTATTTCATTATGTGATACTTCTAATAAACAGACTTAAAGTGAATTAAAATCTATAACATTGCCCAAGTCTTACTAATATTTTAATGAAAGGATCTACTAATCTTGATTTAGCTAAGCATTTACTCTGTGTTATTATAATTGTCCCTAACTGACTACTTTGACCCCACAATCATTGCTGCATAGCCTTCAAATCATCTAACTCTCAGTTAAATTAGACTTGGTTAAGCGCCTAATTAATAGGGCGATTTAAAGTTTACTGGTGGGACAGAAAATATACAACAAGAAATTAGGCATACCAAGAATACCTTGTGTCTCAGTTTACCGACAAATTTATAAGAAATCAAAGGAAGAATATGAACAGTAGTAGTAACGCAGGTATTAATAATAGTTCTACTACTAATAATGTTTATGGTAGTAATGGTGGTGTTAGGGCAGAGAGAGAGAGAGAGAATCAAAAGTCTTCAATTTGCTACTAGATAAAGAAGGCAACAGAAAGACACTACATAGGATTAGAGTGGCATTTAACTCAACAAACTCGCTTAGAAACAAGCTTTGTAGGTTAAAAGATCCTAATAAGATAAGAAATTTAGAAAAAAGCTCAGCTATACCACTGCATGCAATTGCACACAATCACACAATAGGGTGGGATAGAGTAACAGTATTGGAAACTAACTGTGTTGGTGGAGTGACAGGAATGATTCTACACCTGTGTCAGATATGTGAAAAATTCTACTACCCTTGTCATCATAGAGAAGGAGAGGGGAGTAGGAATATGTGAACTCCGTCTCGAAGTTGTGGAGTTAGCTTCCTAATATGAATATGGACGAAAAATGGTGTCCGAAACGCTATCCGGTAAATGATACTCCTTCATTGCGTAACACTTTTAACAAACAGACTAAATTGGAATTACAATCGCCCACAGTGTGCAAGTTTTACTTTTATATTAGGGGGAAGTAAGTGTGAGGAAGATAAGTATCTTTAAAACAATATGATTCTCAGAGTAAGATAAAAGGAGTGTATTTTTTGATGTTGTAGTGATGTATCTACTGCTGACAATATTATGAGACAAGGTTTGCACTTCCCGGCTGCTTACACTACCAAGAGCTGTTTCTTCTTCATAAAGATAAGTTACTGCGTGACCGCAGAGCTAAAAAGAAATCTGATTGAGGTTGGTCACATAGCCTTTTTAGGAGTTTGGTAGTCTAGTTTATCTTTTCGAATCTATCTAGAAAAGAATACCGCCGACATTGGAAAATATCAGGGGAGAGGCTGGTGTGCTATCTTGGGAACCGACTTTTTCTAACCCCTCCCCCCCAACCCTTCCCATACATAGGGAAGGCAGCATCAGCACGGCACTGAGGGTACATCCAAGGGAAACACCTTAGTGTTGTCATACTCTCGTCTAACCAGCAGTAAGAATTTGCCATCGGACCCCATCATAGCGCGGCGATCCACACTATAACGGTAATAGATTTTTCTTTTACCACTAATCCAACTGACCTTTCTGGTATGGTAGTTTCTCGAGGGAATAAGCGTTCCACCATAATAGCTCGTTGGGTCGTTGTAGTATGCAAGCCCAAACACAAGGTCAAGGTAGCAGCCCTCGATCACATACAGTTTTGATGTCATGATTCACAGCTGACACCTATTCATATATGCAATTAACTACAATCACTGTTTACAATAAGATACCTCTCAAAATAGATCGACAATCAGAAAAATCTAAGACTAATAGGAACATCAACACGATGTCCCCTCCGTGTTAATATTCAACCTCATTGCGCTTACTAGTTCCCAAACGATTATACTAGAATTGCTTATAATGGTTTTCACCAATAGCTGCAAAGTTTTAGAACATTACGATAGAGGATAACCAAAAGACTTGCTGTGGCGAACTTCGTCCATAAACAGATGTGTGTAACACATTTCATTGTTTAAAGTACTACAAGTTGGGAACTTATCTAGAACGAGTAGTCCGAATTCTCTGGAATTTGACGCATATTAGTGAAGAGGTCTCTGGAGAGCTGATGACATTCAACTGAACAAAATAGTAGAAAGGAAGTCGTAAAACTTTCACTTACATAATCATACTACTTTTAAGTAGTTGCATTTTAAACGTTAAAAAAAACACGCTTACTTGTTCTGCAGATTTATTTCTTTCATTTTGTCGAATTGCTTTCTGTGTATCTCTTAGTTTATTATGAATTAATTGATGTGGTGCACACAAATTTTCAAGATTGTTCAATTCTTCTTCTAAACGTCTTCTATGTAAACGAATTTCTTCTGGTTCTGGCATATTATCCAACTTTGGGATAATAGATAAACTATTTGAATTATTCATTGTATTTAAATCATTCAATGGTGATAATGGTGTAATTGGTCTACTGAAATGATTTTCATCTAATGGAGATTCTGAACGATGTACATGACGTACTGAACTATTCAATACACGTGCAACTTCACGTTCTTCAATATCACGAGCAAATTCTAAACTTGGATTTGATGGAACAATTTCATGAGAAGGTAACAAATGCTGAATTATAAAAAAAAAGGAATTGAATAGTTATTTCAAAAGATTTCTGAAGAGGATATATGAGAAAGGAAGTCTAAGGTTCATGTTAGTGTTATTATGTTACACATATGTATTATCATTTTATGCCATTGAATTAGCGTGATGAATCTACTTATTCGCTTCTTTTAAGTATCGATGTACTCGTTCAGTGATGAACTGTAAAGACCAAGAATTTACATTATAGGCAGAAAAGATGAATATTTTCTCATTTCCCTGTTATGCCGATAAAACTGTAGTGTCTCAATCTTGGTATTCGCTTACATGATAATTTGCATAGTGTAATAAGAAGACCGGAGGTTATCTCAAAAATGTGACGGATGTATTAGTGTAATACAATTCGAACAATCTGATCACACATTAAACTTTTCAAGGATGTTTTATATAAAGAAAGAAAATAGAGTGGGGTGAAACAAATAAATTAAGATAATAAAACAGTTGGTAAATATGAGGATAATAAGGGGGAATAATACATGTTCACACCTCCCTTGGAATTAAAATAAGATAAAGACTGTCAAGATGGGAGCAAACTGTTTTTAAAATACATAAGGGGGGTTTGAATTTTCCAATAGCTAAGGCTTAAATGAACCTAAGTAAAAGGTTTTCACGGCTCCTATACAATGGTCTAAAGACTGTTTTCCAGTCAATCCTATGACCTTTTTTTATAATATGTTTACCTATCGACAATGACGTCTGTCTGCCTCCAGTATTTATTGGATTATTTGAATGTAACTGTTTTTCTAGCCAATGGGGGACATGCTCCATCACTCTCGACTTTATGGTTTGATTACTCTCCCCAATGTATGTCACCACATACACATGTAAACATGGCGGGATATGGCGTAATCATCTATGTAGCGATGAGGTTTATTTTGGAGTATAGATTCCGTTTACTCGATAATATTGAGTTTGGCTGAGTAGTATTTCCTTTTGGTAACTGAATAAAGTCTTCATGTTAAGATCATACTGTTTGATTCCCCCTTAAACGGTAGCGTGATGTAAACATCCTTCTTCGGGACAGAATATTGATTATTCCGCACAATTGAGACGTTTTTATCACGACTGATGATCTTCAGACGATATCCGTTTTCCACAAGTGTCTCCGTTAAAAATTTGAATTCTTCTTCAATGTATGTATCTGTTGAGCAGATGCATTGGGTTCTTTTGAATGACCAATTTACTAAACCTCGTATGTACTGCACTTTCATAGCTTCTGTCCAATACGTAGAGAAGAGATGAAGATACTGAGCCAACATCAACAATAAACACCAATCACCATCAACAAGAGAATTCTAAGCGAAGTTGTCTCTTTCACCTACCTACCTGCCTAGACGGCGTCGTTTCAACTACAGGCGGCACAAGCGACATAGATGAGGATATCAAAGCCAGCCAGGATCGGAAACAGCAAGACAGGGCATCTCTCATTAATCTGAACTCAGCAGTGTGGAGATCTACTGCATTCAGCACAAAGAAGAAGATACGGATGTTCAACACTAATTCAGTCAAGTCAGCGCTTCTATGTGATGCTTGAGAGACATTGGCGCGTTACGAAAAGCATTTCCAACAAACTACAGACAAACATCATTAACAGCTGCTGAATGACCTACAGACAGAAGATGAAAAAATGGTTGGCTTCGGTGTAACTAGTCTGTATACTAAAATACCAATCAATATGGCACTGGAGGCAGTCAGAAGTCAACTAAATATTGACTCAGAACTTACTCACACAACTAAGATATCGGTTGATGAGATCATATTAGGCATACAGTTATGCCTGACCTCCACAGTCTTCAAATTTCAGCACAAAATATACAGACAAACAGGAGGAGTAGCAATGGGATCACCAATATCCCCAATCGTAGTAGATATATTTACGGATAGTTGGGAAAACATGGCTTTACAAACGTTTAGTCCTACACCAAAAATATGGTGGCGATATGTGGATGACACATTTAGTGCGTTGAAATCGGAACATATCCACACCGTCTTCACACACACAAACAGTCGTAGGCGCAATCCAGTTTACTTACGAGGTAGAAAAGGAACAAGGAAAATTACCTATGTTGGATTTCAGAAGAAAACGAAGAACAGACGGTGGCTTGGATACTACTGTCTACAGAAAACCAGCACATTCCAACAGGTATCTAGACTCCAAATCATCCCATTCAATATCAGTTAGGGCATGATTAGTCAAATGTTTAAATGATAGAGCTAGAAAACTGACTAGTCAGAGCAAGAACCTAAAAAAGGAATTGAAACACGTAAAAGAAGCGCTAATAGTTAATATTAGTTAATCATTATCCTCCATAGTTTATTAAGAAATTCTTAAGGACACACAAAAAACGAAAAAATAACAGTCACACGAGTGCGACTAATAAGGACAACACGAGTAGAAAGGAGTTCACAGCCTCCATTGTGTTACCCTTCAAGCAACGTAAACCAGAAACTTTACGTAGAATCCTCAACAAAGCTGGAATTAGGGTGGCATTTAAGCCTAACAACAAACTCACTCAGAGATAAACTTTGTCCGATAGAACCAATTAAGCAAAATAATCTAATCTATCAAATTCCATGTAATGACTGTGAAGTCAAGTATATAGGTCAAACTAGTCGGTCGGGATAAGTTAGAATAGCCGAACATAAGAATTTAGCTAAATATAGAATGACAGACCCGAATAAGATCAATAATCTAGAAAAAATACTCGGCTATTGCTATGCTTGCATTAACATACAACCACACAATAGAATGGGTGGGATAAAGCCACTGTACTTTAGTCCAATATAATTAAATGGAGAGAGGAAGAGACTGATTACTGAATCTCTGTTCATCGAATCAACACCCAGCCAACACATGTAATAGGAGTGACGCAACACCTGTAGCAGAGATATGGAAAATTTTACTACAAATAAGAACAACTCATATAAGGTGACATAACTATAAAAACCAAATGTCTAAAGTAGTGTGATTACATTGCTATGATTATGAGCAATAATTTATGCTCGAAACGTCATCAAGTAAATAATACTAGACCACTGTGTGTTATAAATCGAATAAACAAATCGAATATGGAATGACCACCTGCCGCCTACGCTCACTCGATACTCAAGATCAAAACGATCAGAAAGAATCAGCAACAAGGAACTCTGGCTAGCAACAAACCAACGAAGAAAGAACCCATCACCCAACAAATATACAATAGGAGAAAGTGGAGATAGTTTGGATTGGATATACACTGAGAAGACGATTCACGGACATTACGCACCAGGTCAAGCCGTCGAGTAAAACCCAAATGGGAAAAGACGAGTTGTCCATCAGAGGGTGATATGGAGGAAATTATGTGAGAAAGAAATGAAAGCTTGTAGGCAGTCGTGGAGCCAGGTTGAAAAGACTGCAGAGAAGCGAGTTAAATGGAGATGTGCTACTGAAATCCTATGTTTCACTAGGAACCCATAGACTTTCATAAAAAAAGCCTTTTACATCTTCCAGTCAGCCTTTTTTTTTCTCAGTTAGCTAGTTCAATTAGTCATTTAGTGTTTCAATATCTCAGATAGTACAGAAAGGAGTAAGTTGACATCTTCACTAGGAATATGATTCGCTTTATATTCCATTCTTTTGAATGACTTTACATGTGATTTATAGTGATAATTATATTATCCTGTATTAATAATTTTAAGCTAAAGGTATTTACTTAGAACAACTAATCATGAAGATTATATCCCCTAGTTACATAATCAGTACAACTAACTACTTATTTCAATGCATTTTCATACTTTCTAATATATAAGGTGGATTATGATTAATTTTCATTCAATAGAATTCTATTATCTTTAATAATCAAGAGTCAGTAACGTAAACTACCTGAAATGGATTTAGTAGAAATTTATACATGGCCTTAGTGATTGATTTTATTCTGTATGCTACCTAGTAAGTAACTTCTAAGTATTCTTCATTGAATGCAACAGAAACCTTATGAATAAATGAACTTTAGGAGGAAAAGTGTTCTTTTTAACTTGTAAATGTAGTGAAATAACACGGAATAATTTGATGGAGATTAAAAATTATTTTTTTTAAAAACTTTATTGAAATTTAGTATGATAAAGTATATAATCAGGCTAGTCAATTAGTCAATATCAACATCAGACTTCTCCTTAATTCAAGTTGTTATTGATACGCGATGACAAAAAAAAAGTCAGCCAATAGAGAAATTGTTTTCAGATCATGATTTATACATACACTAACATAATAACCTGATTGGACAATTTTGAAGTTACACAACAAATCGGATTGGTTCATTTATGGCTTCATTTTCTGAGGGATTTGTAAATCTATAAATATCGTGTATTTGTTTGAGAAACTTGCAGTTGTTCTTGCAATCACAGGCCGTCTTTATCTACTGATTTTCATGGCTCAGTTAAGTATAGGAGGATGTGGGGGAGAATAGTTGTATTACTTGTGTCCAACCTAAGTATCTCGTTGCGTTATTATCACGTTCGCGTACTATTAGAAACCACGTCATCCACCAACTCACAGTTATTTCAGTTGCACGTCATATTTACATCCAAGGTATAAAGTACCAGGATAAAAGACGGGAATGAAAGCAAAAGTAATCAAAAGTGGTGAAAAAATCACAATAAGTAGAGAAAAAAGGATAAAAAACGAGTGTGGTGTGAAAAATAAGATTTAAATATGTGAAAACAGGAAAGTCTACATTTCTTTGTACGGTTTAGATCAAGAATCAGAGATCTCATGTACAGACATCATGTTTTATTCTAACAGACTCCAAGAATTCCGTAATCTAAACTTTATTGCAACTAACATTGTGTAATGCGACTGACAATGACTTGACATGTGTAACGCATGTCCTATTCACTTGCTTCGATGACGGTTCAACTGGCGTTCCTATCTTACCTTAAACCTTATGCCAGACTTCTGCACTATTGATTTGGTGGCGTCATGATATACAACGTATGCTATACACCAGGATTGAACGAAATACTACATGGTACACTGCAAACCTAGTAAGCAATCAGATGTCTAGCCAGCGCTATTGATAGCGTAGGATGGCAATATTAAGTAGATGCGTTCAGTCAGGTGGGTCTAAGATACCTCATTTCACTACTTTTTAGATATAACAACATCACTTTTATATAAATGCAGAAGATTTATATATATTTCTTAAATATTAATAAATAACAAACGAATTACTTACTCTTCGGTATTCACTTGCAAACAGGACATCATCACCTCCATATACATCACCCATACGTATCATATTATCCAGAAATTTTATTAAAGGTTCAGACAGTTCTAATTGTCCAATGACATCATTCAATTCACCTTGAATAGCGGCAATATCTGATCTAGCCTCTCTGGTACCACTAAAAGATACATTTTCGTGAGTAATAGATCAGCTACTGTAAAAAGCATATAAGTAGTGAGTGAAAAATATCGAAATTGAACGTAATATGACAGTAATCAAAACCTTTTAAGGATGAGCTTAGAACAAGAGATCTTCCGAGAAGTCCTGTACATCAATTTTAGTTGATTTATGGTATGTATCACACAGTGAAATGTTATTATTCACAGGACTATATTCCAGAAGTAAGTTGAAATGTGTATTACTCGAATACGTCAACCAACACTAGTAACAGGATCTTTGACGGTTAGACTGAATCCGATCGAAGATGATGAGCCTCCAACTTCTTTGAATTATAGAATTCATCACTGTATGTATACAGAAACCTGAATTATGTTTGCAAACGAAATTTGTTTAACCATGGGACCTCAACTTTGAAGATAAGCCTGTTCCTTTCATATTTTTACAATTACTAATCGAATATTGTCTCCGTTCAGTCCCACTATTCCCATAGATTTTGTGAATTAGCCAACAAACATGTTTAACTTCCTTTGCATAATTTGTAACTTTGTGCTTTTCCTATGATGCATTTTCATTTTTCTTTACAACATTCAAATACGGAAGGAACCTGACTGCTTGAGTTGATTTTCTAAAACCCACTTTTAAGTAAGCAATAAGCGAAATATTAACAATAGCTGTCATGTACTACAAAATGTATGGTAGTTGGTCAGAGGTAATCGGCAGCGAGTTGAGTTGGATCTAGGTTTCACATTACTTGACGTTTATCACAGCAAGGTGCCATTACAACCATGAAGGAACTGGTGTCGCTTCGCAGATCCGGTCAGAGATTTTATCATTGAAGTATTCAAACTGTGATTAACTTCCTCTAAGACTTGATGAGACACCATGATTAGCCATTGCCTAGTAAACAGCTTTATGCTGACTTCAACCACCTAAAAACAATATCATCAATTCTCATATAAGAGATGCTGCTTGTAGGTCTGTATAATGACCTAGAAGTGGTTGTTGAGTTGTATCAATTGAGATATCATGGTCAGCCAAATTTACGTAGTGACTGAGAGATGCTGAATGTGACTACATTTCGCATGACAGGTTTAGCTTAATAAATTTGGGCGAATTTATAATTCAAGAGTCAATAATTATTTTACTTTATTTTTCTCTCGTATATGCTTCTTTATTACAATTTGTTTGATTAGTCTGACGCATAGTAAGAGTAGTCTACTGAATATTGTCCAAGGTCATCGAATAATCTTACTATGAGAGGTTAATTTCTGAGTATACAGTTTACATCCTCCAATAGTAATCAATAAACCAAGTTTCACGTGACTTCTCACATTACAATACTGAATCAACAGGTTTTAGGGCAGACCTTATAATTCAAATTTTAACCAATACTACTTCAAGGTCATACTGACTATCTTCACACGTATTTATTCGCATATAAAATAAACGGATGAGAACGATGAAGCTTTGCATTATTCATTTTATTTTTAGAAAAAGAAATACCTGATGTTAATCACACTGAATATCTTGAAATAGTCAATGATCAATAGATAAAAGAATTGAATCAGTTTGATATGAAAGAATGCGAAATAGATTTACATTTTACATTTAAAACAACACCTTAACTATGCTTACCCTTTAACTAAGCGTATCTGATCAATTTGATAGGTGAAATATTCATGCCATCTTTTTAAATTAGCTTTCTCACGATTTAATTGAAGAAGTAGTAGGATAAGATCATCACGCTAAAATAAAACAGAAACCAAATATTGGAAATTGATCTATCATCATACACAAGAATGATTCATATATAGACAGTGACAGTAAACGTTTATTTCTACACCATTAATTAGTTGACGTTTGACAAAGTAAGTAAATATATTATCCCTGACTTCAAACTAATTTGCACATACTTGATCGATAAACTTCACGATACACTGGTAGGTATTTGATGTAGAATTCAAGTACTTAAAGTGGTGTTAACCACCCACCCCCACTTAAGTATACTGTACAACAGAAAAACTTGAATTAAGGTTTTATGAAAACTTGGACAAATGAAGTAAGACAAAATTTGTAGAATAAAATATCATAATTTATTTCACGGATACTTTTATCACCAAATTGATCATCTTGACATTCCACAATCTACCAACTTCATAATGTTACACAATGTAACTTCCTGATTTACAAATATACGAATGAGCGAAACGACTCATATAATCTGTTAACAGACTGATCTGCTATCGTTGCCCAAAACTGAAATGAAACAGCTACTGCTCCTTTGTAAAAACGGTGTCCAATTCTAACTCGATAACCAGCTTTATAATCAGAGTGATAGACTGGTCATGGGTTTACTTCTAGGACCTGTTCAAGTAAATATCTTCATGGCTTATCTATAAAAGACACGCCTGAGTTCAGTCATCAAAGGAACAACCTCTACTACCACAGGTACGCTGATGAAATCTTTATTGCTTACAATGATGTGAAACATGTGAGTTGTTTGACAAGTTCAACAAGATTCATCCTAACATCAAATTTACGATGGAATGTCAGAATGAGAACGAATTCAGTTTCCTGGACTTCAACATGAAAAGAAGAACTGATGGTAAGATTGAAAAGACCATCCATGAAAAGACATGGACCGGAAAAAAAATACAACTATAACAGTTTCTATCTGGAGGTTTGTAGAGGTTTATTATTCGATTTTAGGTTGGGATTCATCAAGAACTGACATCAGTTGGAAATCTGGGAGCACTGGACAACGCCTTCGTCACAGTGGGCGACTCTCCAGCAGTGCGCATACATGACCCCGCCAGGAGTCGAACCCATGGCTTTCAGGCTCCATGGTCAGTACGTTACCATTGGGCCATTGCATCACGCTACCTCGTGAACTGACAGGAGTAGGAAATATGGACCATTGGATTCTGATCGAGTGACACAGTAGTATAGCTCTGGCCATGGAACGTTCCTATCTTGTCAGCAATAAGCGTGGACTAGTCGAAACACATTACAACATAACTTCAGTATGAAGTTAGTGCGGATGATGTCGTCTAGCAAGACGATAAAAGCTTCACGACTAAACAACTCAGCTCAGAAAACACAATACAACCAACACCATTCACCTGAGCTACAAATATTCTACATTACAACATAGCTAGGAAAATATGTTCTACGGCTAAGTTAGAGGAAGATCTAAACTTCATTCAGAAGTTTCTCCGGAGAATGGATATCCCAAGAGATTTATTATGAAGTGTGAAAAGAAGGCCTTTATATGCTGTAAGGCCTCAGTTTTGCATAAAACATACTTATTCATTTGAACATTTCTAACTTGTCATTTTTACACTATGACTAATAGTTCACTTGCTGTCCCCATTTCTAACGTAGTTCGCTGATTGGTTAATCCTTACTCTTACTCACCATGTCAATCAGTATCTCAGTTCGAGGATTAGTCATTTCATGTGCATAAACATATCCAGGTGTTTATCAATCAATTAATTGATTATTATTCCCGGAGGAATAAACTCGCTCATCATCCAACTCCGGTCTTGTTCTCTGTTCATTCCAGGTTGCAGTCAATCGCTCTTGCGTACGAAGTTAACTGTCAGTTAAGCGTGCGTATTATATCCTTTCGGAATATATATAGCATTATATACCTTACATTCAGTGGAGATACAATATCTAAGAGAATAGATGCAAGAATCAAAGGGGCATTGAGAAGGAATTGTCCTGAAGCTAAACTAGTGACTGACTGACACTTCACAGAAGTATACAATGAATAGGTGAATAGAAAAAGAGTGTTATCAAAGTATACAAAGTTGTGTGAGGGAATAAACATTAATGCGAATATTCAAGCTTTAGAAGATGTCAAGGAGCGAATACATGCGCACCACTGTGAATGATCTCCAGCCATGTTACAAAGTATCCTCAACCAGTGATTTCTATCATCTCGGGGACCCCAAGTAGATAGTTAACATCTCCCGCACGGCTCAGATCGACAGACAGGGGAGTTCATTGACTGGTGCCATGTTTTAGTCTGAACACATTAAACCCTTCTTTATCCTAATCCAACTTCCACTAGCATGGTACATTGAGGTAGCTGATGGCTCAGCATGGGCAGTACAAGTCCAACTTATAGCTTGTATATCAAGATGACCCAATGAGCTAAGCTGATGGAACGCCTGTTATCTCGAGGTCCTATCATACTAAAAAGGTCTTTCAGATAGTGGTTCGACAAAAAGAACCTAGGCTTAACATATTGTTAAACAATGAAATGACGTATTATGATAGGTTAGATCAGTCATCAGTGGTAATGCCAAACTACAGGACGTATATCCAACTACATCTCCCACACTACAGTTCAGTTATCGTGGCATCAAAAAGGTCGTACATGTCACCTGGGCTCTATGGTCACATAAATCTTTTTCTCTTTCATGTACCTTTAAGAAGAAATAGTCTTCAACGGCTTGAGTAGCCGGTTTCACGCTAAACTACTATCAGTATCCAATACCACATGCTCTTTAAACCAGTCAGAACTGGATAATTACCCTGCTCATGTCATCGGGAACTGTATTTATGAACTTATATACCCTTTCGGTAGCAAGCACATTAGAAAAACTGGGAAGAGAGTATCCATTCCGTTTGCTGAACATATCCCCAAGAATCTATGCTTGAAAGGAAGTAAAATTCTAACCAGTGCAAATGTAAGACACCTCGTCGTAGACACAAAATATCAAGTTGAAACTTGGAGTGCTTTTAAAATAATCAAGGTAGAGAAAATGTCTGGATTACTGCGTTTTGAGAAAGCGACTGCTAGGAAATGCTTTCAAATTGACCTTCTTACTTACTCACTCCTTTGGTGAATATGTTCTTATCTTGTTTCATTTTCATCATGTAACTATTTATTGATTTACTTATTTCCCCTTTATTACATCTCTTACCTCTTTATAATTAATTCTATTACACGTTATATGGATTATCAGTGATTTTGTTATTGTATTGATTTGCCTAATAACAATTGTACTTTTATAACTACTCGTTGATAAACTTGTAATTCTTCGTTGTTTTACTGGGTCGCATTATTCAACCTCCATTGACATATGGGCTCCTATGTGGGGGCCTTGATACTGCCTGAATATTTAAGATGGTAATTTATTTAATTGCAGCTAGCAGAGGAATCTAGGACTCTCGTTTCGTCCTACGTGGGGCTCGTCAGCTGGATTTACCTGTACTCCAGTGAGTAATGCTATTCCTACTGAGACTTGAACCCCGTACCCATAGCTTTAGACACCAAGTAAGTTACTTTTAGACTGTATGAAGCTAAAGAGTACTCGTGAAATAAAATGATATCATTCTGCAAATTTTTTTCCCTTCTTGCTTTATCTAAATTTATCAAGGGATCTAAATGCATGAAATTTGACATCGTCTAGACATACAATAAACCAAATAGAATTTCATGATATGTTATCACTAGGTTACTGATGAAATTATTCAACTATCTAACAGTATCTCCAGGTGATAGGCAGTAAATTTACTTTCTAATCAATTATTAAGTACTGAAACGACGCAACGCACTTAGTAACTTTGTGCACATTGGTGCTGTAGGCTATGAACTACATCTATTGTGTGAGGGTTAGTGATACTACCTGGCTCCTACAACTTCGGTAGGTGCAGCAGGGTTCGAACCCATAATGCATACCATATTAATATGTAGATAACAAGGAGTGAATAAGACGAAACGCTATTGATGAGTCTGACTGTTAGCCAGCAATCAACTGATAACATACCGTTATTTATTCATATAATGCAACTACATATTTAAGAAAGGAAAAGAAACAAATACTCCACAAGATTTCATATCAAGATTTTTTATGATAAATATCAACCTGAATTGAAATCAATTGAAATATCCCTATTGGACTGAGGAAACCAAGTATCGAATTGTTGATGATCAGGACTATTCAGTGATACACACATAAACATATGTACAATTCACTGTACTACACGCTGAACTTATATATCATTTCACTCAGAGGATGTTAGTCAGTATTTCTCAATGATTCTTTCTCTATATTCGATTTTAGTTATAGTGTTTAAATCATGAAGCAACGACAAAAAAAAAGTCAGCCAATAGAGAAATTGTTTTCAGATCATGATTTATACATACACTAACATAATAACCTGATTGGACAATTTTGAAGTTACACAACAAATCGGATTGGTTCATTTATGGCTTCATTTTCTGAGGGATTTGTAAATCTATAAATATCGTGTATTTGTTTGATAAACTTGCAGTTGTTCTTACAGTCACAGGCCGTCTTTATCTTCTGATTTTCATGGCTCAGTTAAGTATAGGTGGATGTGGGGGAGAATAGTTGTATTACTTGTATCCAATCCAAGTATCTCGTTGGCGTATTATAAGAACCCATGTCATACCGCCCAACTAAGTCACATCAAGTATACTCAGTTAAAAGGATTCTTATGATATAGTAAAAGTTGTAGGCTCTACTTATTGTTTTGATTACCATAACCTCGCTCATTTAATACGGAGCAATGAAGATAAAGTAAACGACTAATAATGAATGGCATTTTGTAGATCCATCTACTGGAGTTTGAGTAGTTTATTAAAGTCTTAAAACTATTACACAACTGACCATTCTACGATTCACATCTCTCATTCCCGGCTTATTAGAATAACTTCGATTAACGTTAACCAATCCTCCTTGTCTTCATGAAAATCAAACTCAGTACAACATATCAACTTGAAAAATCACAGCCTAATCCGTCATATCTCTGTGACTAAATTAAACTGGAGAGAACCGTGTAGGATGGAGACATTGAAGACTAGCAACAAAATATTTTCGAAGATGAATAAATCCTCTATTTACGTGAAGTCTTCGTTAGGTCTTAATTTACTCCTAAAATAAAATCTATAAGACAATGAAACTAATCAGTATGATAGAATTTACTTGTCAATGAAAATAATTCTATACTGGGTGATGATTGAAGGTGAGACGAAAATGTGGACCGCGGTCGGATTCAAACCAGTGCCACCGGGTTACCGGTGAAATAAAAATCTGGCAAGTAGTCAGACCTCCTAGCTCAGTTGGTAGAGCACTTGGCCGGTAATCTGAGGGTCGCTGGTTGGGACTCGGCGGCGGTCCAGATTTTCATTTCACCTTCAATCATCACTCAGTATAAATACTAGTCCGACAAACCACGGCTATCTCAGATAGACAAAATGATGACTGATATAAGACAAGTTAATTGAAATAAATTGACCAATTGCCTCAATGGTAACGTGCTGGCCAAGGAACCTGAAGGTCGCGGGTTCGATCCCCGGTGGTGCGGAGTCGTGGGTGCGCACTGCTGAGGAGTCCCATACTGGTCGGAAGTAACAGTTGTCCAGTGCTCCTAGGTTTCCTTTGTCCCTCCAACTGATGTCAGTCTACGATGAATAACAACTTGAAAATGTTTTTTTAAGATTTGCAATCATTAAGAAGATTAAATAACATCGGAAACAATTGAATATAATCATGAAATGATGAAGGGTACAAAAATTAATCTGACAAAAGGGAAAGTTGAAAAAAGGGGGGCGAAACACACCAAGATCAAACTAAGTCAAGGTCAAGGTAGAGACAAAGGCTGTGCATACTTCTTTTGCACACAAAGGTCAAGATTCAAAGTTTGTGGATAGCTAAGGCCTCTGCTGTTTTTAGAAGCTGAACACGGAGGAAACGTGAAGTGTTTGAGCGAATTCGATAGACAATCTAAAAACCATAGTTTGCGCCAGTCGGATGGTTGGAATCGATTAAATATTCAAGGATAAGACTTCTGATCGATTTCCTTTCACCCTTATAAAACCAGGCCAGAATATGTTCTCGTATACGTGGTAACACCAGTCTCTGACTACGGCCGATGTACCTTGCTCCATAGGAGCAGGTGAACTGGTAGATACACATGAATGTGGCCTGTCGATAGGATATTGTCTTTTATACCAACGGAGAACAATTTCCGACTGGTAAATATCATATGAAGTTTGGCTGTGAAAAAAATTCCTACTAATTCATCAGGAAGAAGATTTTTCAGGATATGTGACACTGCATCACCTTTATATTCCAGATTCATAAACAAAGTATTTTTTAGAAACTAAGTTGATGACTGGTTTCGCATGTTTTTCTGGCATATTGTTATTGATAAATCTGCTAGGATAGCGGTTTTCCGTGAACGTCTCTCTTAGAAAGACAAGTTCAACTTGGACACAGTCTATGCTACAAATATTACTTATTCGATAGTAGAGAGAGTGAATGAGGTTTCCCTTCCTCATGATCAGCACCGAGCCATAGAAATTAGTAAGCTATTCATCCCACGTGGGCTTTCTGTAGATGGATCTCTTCAGCGTTCCATTGTTACGCCTTGTAATCAGTACGTCAAGGAGAGGAATAGCCGATTCCAATTCCTTCTCAATAGTGAATACAAACGCTGAGTGACAATTGTTAAACTCTCGTAGGATGTCATTCAGATCGATAGGTGAGTCGCAAATAACGAATATATCGTCCATATATCGTGTATAAATGTCAAAATAATTAATAGTTTTGTAGGGAACAACAAGGCTGAGCCGCAGGAAGGAATGTTCATTATTAACATCTTGTACAGTAGTGATGAAATATTGTACACTTTCCACGTGTCTGTAACCTCGAGAGAACTAGTATCCCCTGTGAGATATGAACTCGCGTCGCCCAGTGCTATAAACAGCAACGTTATCACTGTTATTTGGGCTGCGAGTGACTTCCTGTAGGACTGAATTAGATACATTGGTCGGTCACTGGATAGCCAAGTAATCTCATGTTGTCTAGTCCCGAGTATTGACCGAATTCTATCAGTCATCTTATAGTGTGACCATCAAGCTAGGAGGCTCAGCACTGTGATGTATTTTGATGAATGTTAGCTAATTGGAGCCAGTCGGCAGGAAGCCCTACCTAACCTAGGTTTCGTGCTTGTCGGCAGTCATCAGGAAGGCGTATCTGCAACCACTGGGAAACTGATGTTCCCTAGGTGATTGAAACCTGTGCCCATTTGTGTTGAACTCAGACACTTAACCACTAAGCTATTCAGCCCACGAATGATCTTACTTACATGAGATCGTCACTGGTGGATAACCCATGTAGCGCTGTCTAGTCTCTAGTACTTAGTACTGATCGAAGTTTGTCGATCAAATTTTGCAATGTGGTCATTAAACGAAGTGATGCGACACTACGGTGCACTGTATTTCAGTGTTAGACGGTAGTAGTCAATCAGCAAGAGGCTGATGAGCATCACCATACACCAAATCTCGTCAATTCACTTTAATCACCTGACAACAATTTGCTAGTTATTCATCAAATGAACACTCAAAAGTGAATCAGATACTGAGTAATAAAATATTTCAATGAAAAAAATATTGTTTAACTCAACTTACTGACTTTCCTAAGAGATCAGACGCTGCGATACTCATTCGTTTAGCTAAACCAGTAACAGGATATCTATGTTTCACACTTGTCAATGGTTTAGTTTCCTAGTAAAAAAAATGTCAGCAAATATTCCATAACAATGCGATTTTAGGCAATACTTTGTTTATATAAACTAAAATAATTAGAGAAGTAGCAAAGACAAAATGAACCTGGCTATTTTGTTCATTTTGAAGTAGATTTCGAATGACTTTTAAACTTAAAAGTGACAAGCTGTAAGGATGAATCGGTACTTCTTCTTCAAGGTCATATCTTAACCTTCAGCAATGATTCAGTGTAAGCATTGACTTGATACAACACCTTAGTCCATTGTATTTTGAGCCAAATATTTGATAGCGATAAAGAAAATCCCAACAACACTGGGTTTGATCTTTCATTAAGGTTTTGGGTGAGTATTGTTAAGATGTCTATAGCTAAAAAGAAATAACTCATTGTTGTCCAATGGTTTCTAGAAATTCTATACCTGATTTCATTATTTCATGCAATATTTACTAGACTACCACTTCATTTTCGGTAGATAATCCAGAGTCCATAGGATTTTGTCGCGGACTGATGGAAGGCCTCAAGTTTTGTATAAGACATTCTTATTCATTTGAACATTTTTAACTTGTCATTTTTACACTATGACTAATAGTCAGTCTCCAACCACTGCTTCCTCTTGTCCCGCCGACCCCAACCACCCAGTCTGCATCGCCCCACATAGCTCACACCAACAGTCAACGACTTCATACATTCGTGCCATATTTTAGTCTGGCCATCTCGGGCCTTTTTCCAGCCTGGACCTATTTCGGTCAACTGATTACTCTTCAGTGACTAATCAATGCATAAAAATCAATCTACAAAAATAATTGTATTCCTTAAATGTTTGTTTCTTAACAGAGTTGTTTTATATGCAGTTGCTTTTCAACTATATTGTTATCTTCAGTTACAATAAAGCTTTTGAGCTCTCTCTCTCTCTCTCTCTCTCTCTCTCTCTCTATATATATATATATATATATATATATATATATATATATATGCTAACTCGACTATGTTTATTTTGTGCAGACGAAAAGAATTTCTAAGACTAATACATGGAGTCAGAATAAAAAGAAACTAGTGTCGTATCGATTAAAAGATACCCCACTTCCTGTTGCACACACTCTAACCTTCAAACTCACAATCATGTCGAATGTAAACAGACCAATAAAATATCAGTCCATCAGCTAACCAGTGATTATTTTAACAGATATACTGAAACAAATGTAATAGTGAAGAACAGTATCTTTTAAATGGTAGACATTACATAGTACCAGAAAACAGTGAATAGGCGCATAAGTTAATCAATAAACCTATATATTATTCTTGTAAATTAGTGTACAATAGTGAATAATAGCAACTATTGTTATATGCTATCATATAGTAAAATAACAATATATGTTTATAATTCTGCATGTTTACGTAGAAGAATATCGTTAAATACGCTAATATTCCGTGATAAAATGCAGGCTCTTCTGAACGTGCTCAGCAGATATGAATCTGAGTATGTTTAGTGAATATGACTTTCAGACCTGTGAAATGTAAGATGACAGTCTAGGACAGGTGCGCTGAAAGAACTTCCAGCTTACGGACAGGGAATGAAGCGGTGAAATGTATCGATCATTTCACTTAATTGGGAAGTCGCATCATCCCTGATGGGCTGGTTGCTGACGAAATCTCATTTCCGATACAGAAGATGGGTTTGATACTTGACAACTAGCGCCATTTGCGCTACCGATCGGTGAGATATCCGACTACCCATCCAAGGACAAGTATGCTGCGCTACAGTTTGTTCTGTTCTGTTACACGGTTACATGGTTTTAATCACAGATGTCTTCGTATCGTTCTTCGCATTTGGTGAAATCACCGTGTAAGCAATGTCCCGTGACAATATCTCTCACTGAAAGGCGTGCCGAGTAAGTGCATCACCTTATTCAAGGCTCTCCACTCGAACGCTCGTGGGCGTCTCACAGCCTATACTGAGATGTCCGGGAGCTGTCCTCATCGAATGGTGTCCATCAACGGTGCCCACTCTCTCCATCTTTATTCGATTTTTACCACAGATTTTCACACGGAGGTCTCCTTCTCATCACATGACCACACGGAATTCGACCTAATCGCAAGAGAATTTTCATCAGACCTACAATACGCAGATGACATGGTCCTGTTAGGTGAAGACGCTGACAAGATTCAGAGTCTTCTAATCACTGAGTGGCAATTGCAGAATGTTTGGCATGTGTTTCTCACCACCCTAATGCAAATTGTTGCTCCACGATTCGTCTTCAACGGTGCACCACTGCGGCTAACAATAGACAGTGTAGTGGTTGAGTGTGTCGACCACTTCACCTACCTGCGAAGTAGTAGGATCAGCCCTAGTGGCTCACTGGCCGATGAAATCTCTGTACGAATAAAAAAGGCTCGATTGGCTTTCGCCAACTTACGCCACCTGTCGCGCCGCCGTCATATCCGATTTTCTATTAACGGTCGCGTGTACCGCACCTGCATAGCACTCCACTCGGTTCTACTCTATGAATGTGAAACATGGCCATTGAAGGTGGAAGACATGAGAAGGCTGGCTTCAGGTGTTTGACCACCGTTGCCTTCATAGTATACACCGTATTGCAATTGCGTGGGGTCACCACGTGAGTAACACAGAAGTCGGGTGTGGATTTTCAGTGAGGGAGAAGAGGTGAGTCGGTTGACAAGGTTGTGAACCTTCATCGATTGAGGTGGTTGGGACACGTGTTATGTATGCGTAGTCACCGATTGCCTCGTCACAGGATGTTGACTGAAGTAGGTTCAGGCCGGAAGAAGGCCTGAGGTGGCCAGACTAAAACACGGCGCCAATGTATGAAGTGTTTGACTGTTGGTTTGAGCGATGTTGGGCGATGCAGACTAGATGGTTGGGGTCGGCGAGACAAGAGGAAGTAGTGGTTGGAGACTGACTGTAGGTGATGTATCATGTCTGAGAACCGATGTCAGTGGCGCAGATGTATACACACACATTATCCTCATCTTAACGATGCTATACAGAATCTCACCATTTTCTCACTCTTCCTTTCTCTTTTCGTACTTTATATTCCTTTTGACTGAATTTTCTTTCCTTCTTCATCTTCCACTTGCGGAAGGTTCTGAGTCGTGAAAATGATTGGTTGAAACGAGAATTTTTCTTCGCTGAAATTTCTTTTATTAATTTTTATTATCTAGTGGGACTATTTCGATTGTTCAAAGATAGAAAAGATCCTGTGATAGTCAAGGTTTCTACGGTTTTCTGTGAAGCTTACTGGAGCTAATACTAGAATCAGTTTCTTGAAACGTGAAATATGCGAAGCGTTTCTGAGAAATTTTGCTCTGTGGAAATGACTCGTTGAAGAGAGAATTTTCTGCACTGAATCATCTTTTAATAAAACTAGGAACTCGTTCTCAACTCTGGTATCCAAACCCCAAAGTGTATTTATTTTTCTATACTTTCTAAATATTTTCGTACTCCAAATGATTCAATCACTTTGCAATATGATTATCTAACCGAGGGAAATGAAAACTTTATACCGGTTGATCCCAACATCTCTGACTACAATTGTAGTGGGCGTTGCTCATAAGAATGGATATAAGTAGTATACGTTGAGAGGGTGGCAGAAATCATAGGGAATTACCAGCAATGGGTAAAGATTCTGCCGAGAGCAACGCAAGAGACAACGTGGATGTATGAAGAGCAAACCAAGAGAGAAACAGAAGAGGAAATGAAGTATATTATGCAAATGACTTTCTTAATGCAAGGTGTACTATATTTAACGAGTACTGTCCTCTCGTTCCTTTCACAATCAGCTTGGTTTCACTTAGGAGCACATTGCTAAATGGAGTGACTTTAAAGATCACCCTCACAACAACTGAAATAACCAACTCGATTTCTGTATTTTATGAAAATGTCCTTTAACGCCCGAAATGCAGAATCTTAATTGGGTATTTCAATCGTTAGTACGGTGACCTTTAAACGAGTCTAAAACTAGGGCATTGGTTGTTCAGTGTTTTCCAATGGTAATAGCTTTCAAGTTTATATTAATCTATGATATGGTTGAGATTGATATAAAATGTTAACTTACCACAATTTCATCATCACGCATGGTAGAATGCTCTTTGACTGTGTGCAATGGATGTGGATTTCTCGGAGGTCTAGGAGGAGGTTTATCTTCATGTGGTATAAAGTTGAACTGAGAACTTCTACTCAATGATCTCGCATTAGTGTATGCTGAATTTCTTTTATATATATCATTCATTTCTAAAGTTTTATTTGAATGAGTATTTCCGACAAACTGAAATGATGGACTTAATGTATCAGATACAGTTGCTTCATTTTTATCAACAGGATAGGCAGTGGAATAGGTGACACCTAAAATTTAAACAAAATATTCAGTGATCGGCATCATCAATAACTAGCAGTTATGGTAATTTAGTTGATTGTTGCTAACATGACGTGCGTTTCATCCCATTTGGGACTCGTCAGCTGGATGTACCTACACCACAGTGAGTGATATTGTTCCCACCAAAACTCGAACCTCGTACCCATCGCTTCGAACTCCAAGGCGTTATCTGCTTTCAACGAAGGAACGAGAGCCACTTTTTGTACAATGGGTATTAGTTATTACTATTTATTGATATACTTGTAATTCTCCATTGTTTTACTGGGTCAAATTGTCCAACCTCTATTGGCATGAGCTCCTATGCCTCCGGCATATTGGGTGACGCCTTGGCGTTTGAAGCGATGTGTACGAGGTTCGAGTCCCAGTGGGAACAACATCGCTCACTGAGGTGCAGGTACACCCAGCTGACGAGTCCTAAATAGGACGATATGCGCATCCTGGATTCTTCTGCTAACCACAACCAACTAAATTACCACAACTAACATTCAGGTAATATCAAGGCATCCATATAGGAGCCCATACATATGCCAATAGACATCGAACAATTCGATACAACGAAACAACGAAGAATTACAAGTATATCAATAAATAGTAATAACTAGCAGTATTGGTGATGGACTTTTGTTGTTGATTTATCATTAAAGTTAATTTCTGTACGTATATGTACTCCTTTCGTGAATATCCTAGGTTTGTTATGAATTTCATTCTGATTAAATATAATTCACTTTCTATACAAAAAGCAGAAAAAAATGATTGAGAATCAATCCTATGAGAATCTTAAAACATCTGTATAAGGTAAGGAACACAAACCTGTTGATTCATTCATTATTTGGTTATCATGATAAAGTCACTAAGAGATGAAAGCTACTACCCTTTAAAGTAATGAATGGAAAATCTAAACTAAACGTTGTTCTGTGGATAGATCCAGTTGGTGAGTCCCCCCCCCAAAAAAAGTGGTGGAACAAAGTCTACACTTCAATATTGAACATTATAGGATAAAGCCTGTTAGAGTTAGTTAGTTGATTTCTTTTCGAATTTGCAATAAGTTCTTCTTACTGAGTATTTAACTTATAGCTTCAAATATTAGATTTAAGTTCCATTTCAACGATACTTTTAACGAAATATTCAAGTCATACATGAATCCCTATACAAATGGATTATGTATGAAAAATGATTGTTAAGTATGAATCCATATGAACCTTAAACGCTGACTGCTGACTTGATCGATCGACAGTAAAAAAAAAACATGGTGTTGTAAACGTTGACGTGTAATGAAACTCACCAAATATGCAGACTGAGCTTATGAATAGTAATAACTGACTCCAAGCATCTATTATCAGATGGGATACATGAGGATGATATGTCAATGAGTATAGTGACTGTATAGCATTCCTCAGTTAATAGGATTGCATCAATACTTACTTATGTCGAGATTTCATGCCATCCAGTGAACAACTGATTTAAGTCATATTACTGTTTTTATTATTTGTCCTATGGGTTCCTACTGGAACATACCGATTCAGTAGCACATCACCATTTCACTCTCTTCTCTCCAGTCTTTCCAACCTGGCTCCACCACTGCCTACAAGCTCTCATCTCTTCCTCACATCATCTCCTCCATGTCACCCTCGAACACCCAACTCGTCGGTTCCCATTTGCGTTTCACTCGACGACCTGGCCTGGTGTGTGATGTCCCCAATCGATATTCTCAGTCTATGTCCAATCAAATCCATCTCCACTCTCTTCTTCTGTATATTTGTTGGGCGAGAGGTTGCTGATTCGTTGGTTCGATGCCAGCCAGAGTTCTTGTTACCTGTTCTTAGTATTCTGGCCAGCTGATCCTCGGCAGGCCGCTCAGATTCCAAAAGAGATGAGGTATGGCAAGAAATGCTAGGAATCTGTGAAGAGTCTGCAGATGGAACGGAAATGAACTCTCTTAATTGTCAACTGGAGAGTCAATAATCTATTCCTGTATTGTCACACAGACGACAACTACGAGCACACTGAGTTTTGGAGTGGCTATCATGATGTCCGCAACAGCATCAAAGGCAATGGGAACCAATGCTAGGCTATGCACCTACAAATAATGCGGATCAAGAGAAGAAGGAGGAATTCTACAAACAACTGCAATCAACACTAGACAAGACCCCACTCCAGATGGCCACGTCAAATATCTAATGGGTGGGGTGACATGAATGCCAAACTCGGAACAGACAACACGGGAAGAGAACTGATCATGTGTTCAGAAGCACTTCGTGAAATGAATGAGAATGGAGAACTGTTTGCAGACTTCTGTGCATTCAACGACTTGCTGATTGCAGGCAGTGTGGACAAACACAAAGACATTCACAAATCCATATAAATTTCACCAGACACCAGGACACACTAAAAATCAGATCGACTACATCTCAATGTGAAGAAAGTGGAGACGTAGCCTATTGAATACAAGATCAAGAAGGGGAGCAGATGTAGGTTAACACCACTCACTATCTAGTGCAAGAAACCTTCAGAACCAGGTTGAAAGCCTCCACAGAAGTTGGTGATGATAGACCACAGTTCAACTTCAACACCCAGGACAGAAACTGAACTGAAGGACGAAACTACAAAGGACGTCTTCACATCAGCCAGTCATCAGGGGAAAATGGGAGACATTGAGCAACATTTCCAAGGAAAGCTGCGTGGAAGAACACTGGAACTCTGTGAAAGGGATGTGGAAAGAAAGGAGTGAGACAAGGTTGCCCCCTACCATCACAGATCATCTTCCTGATTGTGGTCAACTAGACTCAACTCGACTCGACTCGACTGGATCATGCAACAAACAACTGTGAGGAGGTGTGATAAGATGGACATACTCTGTTTGATGGATGAGAAGACCATAGGAGATTTGGATGTCACCGATGATTTATGTCTAATGTCTTGTTGCAGAAACTCGAAGATCTACAGGTGAAAACTACCAAGTTAGCAGACGATTCGAGGCAGGACAGTGAAGGAAGATGGGACTTCGTTCAGATGTGAACGTAGAGAAGACAGAGGTGATGAAGATATCCAACTAACAACAAAAACAACAAGCACCAATCACCATGAATGAGAGGAATGTGAAGGAAGTTGTCTCTTTCACCTACCTGCCTAGACAGCATCGTTTCAACTACAGCCGACACAGACAAAGGTGCAGATGAGGATGTCAAAGTCATCCAGTATCGGAAACACAGCAAGACAGACAGGCATTTCTTCATTAGTCTGAAATAATCAGTGTGGCAATCTACTGCACTCAGTATGAAGCGTGAACAAGATCCGGATTTTCAACACTAATGTCAGTCGAGTAAGTCAGTGTTTCCATGTGATGGTTGAGAGACATTGGCGGGTTACGAAAAGCATTGTAACTAACTACAGACATCCATCATCAACAGCTGTTGTCTACATTCACTCGATACTCAAGATCAGATGGATGTCCAGAATAGTAAGAATAGGTAAGAAGAACTCTGGCTGGCATCGAACCAACGAATCAACAACCTCTCGCCCAACAAATATACAGAAGAAGAGAGTGGAGATGGATTTGATTGGACATAGACTGAGAATATCGATTGGGGACATCACACACCAGGCCAGGTCGTCGAGTGAAACGCAAATGGGAACCGACGAGTTGGGTGTTCGAGGGTGACATGGAGGAGATGATGTGAGGAAGAGATGAGAGCTTGTAGGCAGTGGTGGAGCCAGGTTGGAAAGACTGGAGAGAAGAGAGTGAAATGGTGATATGCTACTGACGCCCTATGTTCTAGCAGGAACTCAGAGGGTAAATAATGAATAATAATATTATTATATTATAAGCGCTCTGTTCAAAATTCAATTAAACATATTGATCGCATAATATCAGAGAAACGAACCAGAAATTTGAGGATATACGTTTCTATGATAATACGAGTGACTCTGAAGATAAAAAGTACTGAGGGACGAAACAATATTTCTACTACCGTCGTTAATTGGACCGAATCGATCGGTCTCTATTAGCATATGGGTGATCGCCACCGTGCCCGAATCTTTGTGGGAACAACACAACTCACTGGTAGGCAGGTACATTCAGCTGACGAGTGCCAAATAGGACGAAAAGCACATCCTGGATTGCAGTGCTAGCCATTATTCATCATTGCTATAATTAAAACACAAGTAATCTCGAGGCATCCGCACAGGAGCCCGTATTCTAATAGAGACCAATGAGTTCGGTCCAATCAACGAAGGTACAATACAAGCAATTATACTAAATGAAGGTATTCAGTTTAATAACGCGAGTAGCTCATTGTATTGACGTACTTCACTGTTTCCTTACATGATGGAATAACTTGAGTTCCTGGTTAATAAGCCCATTAGTAAGATCTTACCAATATGATTAAGCATTGTAATCGTATCCAAATAAACACTCTTAATCAAATTTTGTACTGTTAAGTAGTTTCTCTCTTCTCACTACCATGAATGTTTTTGTAGAGCAAAAGGGCTAGCAACTAAACGTGAAAGGTTTAATTATTATATTCAAAGTAATGTTCAAACTTCATTTGTTGCTGATATAAACATATAAATAGAATAGTGACAAACTTCAAGAATACAGGGTAAATTGGTTATTGATATTAAGTGAGTTTTAGTAAGTGGATATTGTGTTCAGTGATTCATTTATACTAAAACTGTTGGACTCAACTTGTAAAATATTAACTCACTTGATTGGTTCAGTTTTCTTCTCTCTTGTAATCCCTTTTAAAAGCAAGAAATATATATAACAATGTTCAATGATTCAGTTTATTAATGAAATATATGAAATGGTAGGCGTTTTGAAGGCAAACAGAGAAGACGTTTTATCAGTTATTTCAAAACTCTTAGCTGATAAATTATTCTCATTTATTCTTACTATCCAAAAATCTGCATAAAAATGTATGTTTAGCTTGATTGACTGATTGGAAATTTGACTTCTTTGCTATCCATCGTATTCTATGCGTTTTATTCATTTGAATTACTAATGAGCTGTGACCTTGAAATATATGTTCAATGTATGAATGAAATCTACGACATTCGCTACAGTGATTGTTTAAATCAATACAGGTAATGTTTCTCAATCTATAACCGCCTAAATAAATCAAAGATAGAGTATGACGATATTTTCCACTTTGAAATCAGTATTCAAAAAGAAACGGTGAAATACCTAGACGAAGATATTAAGGAATAATATGGGGTTTTTTATGCATCGAGTGTTAAACATACCTTGGTTTATGTATCGTCATATCATGAGGTATAAATTAAGAGGAAGCTAATTAACTTAAGTGAATTAGCCTTCTTCCATGACCTTCAAGATAGGGTTTCAAAAGGTTCAAGCTAGAGTCAATTAAGAGTAAGCATTCTTATGTAACTCTCTTAATTAATTTTTACAATGCACTGATAGCTTAGTAGTTAAACAATAAACTTTTCTTTATTTCAAGAAAACTAGCGTAATGCAAACAGAGGCTGATACGATAAACAGCGTAATTTTACTGATTAACACTGTGAATTCATTACCAGTAGAGGTAGTCTCCTTTCCATCTGTTAAAAGTTTCAAGAAAAGGCTGGATAGTTACGCATAGACCCACAGTTTACACACATGTAGCTGGGATATGAACAGAAGAAAACTGCTATCACACCATTCAAACTATGTTACCTCTACACCTTTCATCTCTTTCACTCGCTGTGAATTAGCCACACTTACCTAAGTTCTTCATATCTTTGCACCCCTCTGGTCTTACTTGGGTGTAAGTAGATTACTTCATCGGTTCACTTTTCTTTGTCTTTTACTCACACATACATTTGTCTTCCTAGGTTATCTCTTCATTATCTCTTTAACTGATAGTCCAAATAAATCTGGTAACTCGACATCTGAAGAACCCAATTGCACCACAGTCCCAGGCAAACTAACCAACAATCAACTTTCTGTTCTGTATGCCCAAGCTATAGCAGATGAGTGGTTGGATCTAGTGCATCGGAATCCACCAAAGACCTGGGAACCATTCTGCAAGACCAAGAAACAAGCACGAAGAAATCAACTGGTTTATACAAGCTCGTTAAACATATATCGGATACTGAACAACCATTGGAATAAACAAATTTCATTTCTATTTCATTTGAAGGTATTACTGGTTGTCGTTCTTCCTTTTACTTCGCTTTGTAGGATGAATTGTTACCAGACTCGAAGTAACACATCGACTATGCTACGGAGAAAATTTGGATTGCTGCATGTTTATGGAAAATATATTGGTATTGATGACATTTTTATAACCATTTGTCCGTTTCAAATGTTTGCATACTTTGAAGCTTGTAAGTTATTCAATATATTTTACCTACCTAATGAGTTGAGGCTTTTGAAACCATCTTAGTTTTATAAATGTAATGTGTGAACTGGGAAATGAAGCGAAAACGAAGGGGAGAAAGTAGACAAATAAGGGGGAAATGACGCGTAATCTGGGGGGAAAAGTAGACAAAGGTGGGGGGGGCAACGATGGGAAATCGAGGGGGGAAAGTAGACTAAGAAACATACAGACTGAATAAGGAAAGGGACTTAAAGGGGAAAAAGAGTAAAAGGGGAAATCGGTTGCATTTCCCCATTAATAAGGCTTTTTCTTTCCATTGGGCTTCCCCTGCATTTCCCCCTTTATTCTACTCCTAAAGGAAATCACGGTGACAGAGTTGAGAGAGAAATCAAAGCCTCTGCTGTGTTGCCATGCAGGGAAGGCACCTCAGAAGCATTATGAAGAATTCTCAAAAAGGCTGGGTGGGATTAAAGTGGCATTTAAACCAACAAACCTGCCTAGAAACAAGCTTTGTAGGTTAAAAGATTCTATTGATGCAACTAAGCAAGATAATTTGGTTTACTGAATCCATTGCAATGATTGTGAGGTCAAATACATAGGTCACAGTCTTTGACCAGGGTCAAACAGAATAACTGAGCACAAAAATGTAACTCATGCAAGAGTAGTAGATTCTAACAAGATAAAAAATCTAGAGAAAAGCTCGGCTATAGCTCTGCACGCAATTACACACAATCATACAATAGGGTAGGATAGAGCGACAGTATTAAAAACTTAGTTGAGTGGAGAGAAAGAGGAGAGATTGATAACCGAATCTTTGTTTATCGAATCAACACCAAACACCTACAGTAACAGGAATGATTGTACACCTGTCTCAGACATATAGACAATTCTACTATCCTTGTCATCACAGAGGAGAGAGGAGTAGGAATATGTGAACTCTGTCTCGAAGTTGTTGAGTTAGCTTCCTGATATAAATATGGACAATAAATGGTATCCGAAACGTTATCCAGTAAATCATACCATTTCACTGTGTAACATTTCTGATAAATAGAATAAAATGGACTTACAAGCGATAACAGTGTGCAAGTTTTACTCCTATATTTATTCGATTTATTTTTCCCTTTTGGTCTGTATGGGTTTTGTCGATAATATTATCGATCACATTGAAAATCATAAATTTTGGGCTACATAGATCTTCAGAAACTTCAACTTAATGAACATGAACTGTGCGGATAAGAAAACTCATCGCATTGGACATCTAAGATTATTTAGATGACATCCTGCAGATAAAATGAGAGTCCAACCATCTAGATCAACCTAGGACCTAGCGTTACTGTGTAACGCTCCGATTTGCCACACCTCATATCAGTACATCAAATAAAAAGACAGTGAGGCGCAAGATAAAGATAAGAAAATGCAGTCAAAAAAAGTGTAAAATATTAAAAGAGAAAGGGAGAGTGAGAAAATGGTGAAGTTCGGTATAGTGTCGTCAAGATGAGGATAATGTGTGTGTATACATCTGCGCCACTGACATCGGTTCTCAGACATGATACATCACCTACAGTCAGTCTCCAACCACTACTTCCTCTTGTCTCGCCGACCCCAACCACCCAGTCTGCATCGCCCAACATCGCTCAAACCAACAGTCAAACACTTCATACATTGGCGCCGTGTTTTAGTCTGGCCACCTCAGGCCTTCTTCCGGCCTGAACCTACTTCAGTCAACATCCTGTGACGAGGCAATCGGTGACTACGCATACATAACACGTGTCCCAACCACCTCAATCGATGAAGGTTCACAACCTCGTCAACCGACTCACCTCTTCTCCCTCACTGAAAATCCACACCTGACTTCTGTGTTACTCACGTGGTGACACCATGCAATTGCAATACGGTTTATACTATGAAGGCAACGGTGGTCAAACACCTGAAGCCAGCCTTCTCATGTCTTCCACCTTCAATGGCCATGTTTCACATCCATAGAGTAGAACCGAGTGGAGTGCTATGCAGGTGCGGTACACGCGACCGTTAATAGAAAATCGGATATGACGGCGGCGTGACAGGTGGCGTAAGTTGGCGAAAGCCAGCCGAGCCTTTTGTATCCGTGCCACTGAGCTATTAGAGCTGCTCCTACTACTTCCCAGGTGGGTGAAGTGGTCAACACACTTTAAAATATTAGGCAGTAAGATGTAGGACTAGTACTCATCAAAACCAATGAATTTATTTCGATTGTACTCACCAATGGTAATTGAACTCGTAACATTTTTTAAAATTACTCATATTTATGCTGCCAATAACTTTCCGAAATGCGTTTTAAGTTTTCAAGAAGTAACAAAGAGGGAATATGATCATTTGACTATATGAGATGGCCATAGTTTGGCAGGTTAGTTTTTATACTGAGTGATAACTGAAGGTGAGATGAAAATTCAGTTACCCGGCGGTCGCTGGTTCGAATCCGGTCGTGGTTCAGATTTTCATCTCATCTTCAGTCATCAACCAGTACAAAGAGAGAATATGTTGTGATATTTTTATAAAATACAATATCTTAAACATGACCTTTATTTTTTTAAAAATCTAGGAAATGAAAGTATTTAAAAATTTTTTGTTGAAATATTTCAAGTTAAAAGTAATTCATTACCTTCTTAGTTTATATTCTTACAACCAAAACCTATCGTGTAAGAACTAACATCGATACTTACCTGCCTGAAACGAAGTAGGTTTATTGAACACTAACTTATAGCTTACTGTCTAAGAGTTCAATGTGTCAATCAACGACTGATGAATAATTATTTGACTATAGGAACCGTGATTTGATACTGTGCGGTGATTGAAGGTGAAATGAAAATATGGACCGCGGCCGGATTCGAACCAGTGACCATCGGGTTTGCGACCCGATGCTTTACCAACTGAGCTACGAGGTCTGACTGCTGATCAAATTTTCATTTCACTTCAGACAATGACCATGGGTTTTGCCTAACTACCGTGTGAATTCGTGACGCGTTACTACCGCTTGGTCGTATTCACATTAGCTGCCTAGTCAGTAACGCATCACGAATTCACACGGTAGTTAGGCGTAACCCATGGTCATTGGTTGAAGTGAAATGAAAATTTGGTCAGTAGTCGAACGTCGTATCTCAGTTGGCAGAGCATTCGGTCGGAAACCCGGTGGTCGCTGGTTCGAATACGGTTGCGGTGCAAATTTTCATTTCACCCTTAATCATTACCCAGTATAAAGACTGATGAATTGTATATTTTAGGTGACGATTGACAATAAATCTCCATTATACATTATATCTTATTTGTGGCTCATTGGTTCAGGGAGATGACTTTCAACCAATTGGCTATTGGTTCGAATACCGCTTACTCCATCTACCGGAGTTTGGACAGCCAGGTAGTATCGTTAGCCCATGTACAATAGGT